CAATAATTTTAGATATGGTTGGTCGATTAAAACAAAGCTTACAAAATTTTAGTTAAAATTACAATTTTTAACAAAATCTGCAATTTATTCTAATTACCCTACCTACTTGCGATTTTTATAAAATTTTAAAATAGCGCGATTGAAGCCAGATAAATAAATGATAAAATTTTTAAAATGTTAAAATACCACATTGTTTAACTCTAATACATAGTACTGTACTGTTGCATACACATAACTGCCATATTGTATTAAAGTGTTCGTTAATAAATATTTATTTAGCATTTTAATTAGTACTAATATTACTAATGGACAATACAGCGAGGTCAATTTACATAAATATGCCTTAGTAAAATGTTAATAATAAAGGGGACATCCATTAATTATTTGAGACAAAAATGGCGGGGAGTGGTCAAGCAAAATCTCACCAAATCTCATTTTAAGGGAGGGGGGTTCATTTAAAATCTCACGTAAACTTTTGAGTTTGAAGATATATACATATACATATGTATTTATAATTCAAATTTGTTAAAAAAAATTAATCATTTTTTAGTCTACCAAATTATCACAAAAATGCCTCACGTAATTAATGGATGTCCCCAAAAGAAATATTGGGTGATAAAAGTGAGATGTTATTTTAAAAAAAAATTATAAACAGAAAATATGTTGAAAACAACATACACTGCGCGTGAAAATTAACGCATAACAAGTAAAACATCCAACGCCTTTACCAATCTTTTTACAATTTTGTACAAAAATACTTTAACTTATATCACAGTTTACGTGTTCAAGGGTTTTTCGAGAAAATATTCTTAAAATTTGTAAAGTATAGTTTTTAAGGTTGGTAAATACAAATTTGTAAAGGTACTTCCAAAGATAATAATGTATTATCTTTGGGTACTTCTAGGCAACTATAGAGGGTACCCCACAGATCACAGAAAAATTTCTGTGATCTGGGGTACCGTCTATACTGGCAACCACAGTGTTGCCAACGGGAGATGCAGTAGTCCTACAAAAAGCAAGATTAAAATCCACCAGAAATCATATGCATCTCCCGTTTTCGGCACTTGTGGTTTCCAGAAATCAAAATGCCGTGTATAGAAGAATTAACTAATAAATATAGAAGTTTAAAAAATATTTAGAAGATTTAAATAAATTATTTATTTACATAATTGAATTGGGTATAATTGCTACACTTTAAAACAAATCCGGTTAAAATCGCATATAAAGATTTTACAGGGGATAAACTGAGAAGGTGCATTTCAAAATTCATATTAGGTGATTTTGAGCAAAATGTCAAAAACCTTACACGTGAGTACTAACGCATATCACGCCTACAGAATACTTTAAACGAAATAAATAGGCATAAGTATAAAATTTATATTCCTTGATTAAAAAGGTATAGCTCCAATTTGAAATAATTTAAAATTACATACGTATAGCCAGTTCTGACAGGATATAACCTATAGATAAGGCAAGTTTTGGAACGATAGTTAATTTGTAAATGAACTTTAAATGGAATAAGGTGTATGTATCTTGGGAATAAGGTGAGTTTTAGAATATTATGACCTTTACAGGGTATAGGGGGCTACATGTTAAATGTCCCCCTTTAACTTTTTTATTTTAAGTGATCCAAAAAATTTTAAAATGTGGTTATTTATGTAGGTACTAAAAAATACTTTTTTTCTACGTATAAATAAAATTGGAAAATTTATCAGTATAGAGGGATAAACAAAAAGTTTACTTTTTTTTCAATGTATCACCCTTTATATGTATTTATTTTTCGATTCCTTGTAAAATTCTATTTCATATAACATACCATATACCCAAATTCAACTGTTTCTCAAATAATTAAATTATTTTTAAGATAATAAGTTGAAATAGTTTGTCTTTCTCTGTCTGAGTACGCCATTTTTGCTTATTTAACAAGACATAATTGGCATAATGTAACTACCTATAGTAATTTATTTTTAATAAAAATTTTGGGATACTAAGAGGCCTATTCCCTTTCGCTAAACATGCATGTTCATGAACTACATATGTTTCGTAACATATGAGCCTATTCCCTTTCAATTATTTCGTCTATAGACGCATGCGCTCGAAGAATTTCTTAAACATCCATGTTTATAAACATCATCGGTGTTAAAATGGCTATTCCGTTTCCAAAATTCGATGTTTGGTGAACATACATGATGTTTGAAAACGTATGTTTACGAACGCTTGCCTAAGAGGTGCTGTTATAGACAATATTTAAGGTTTTTTATCAATATTTAAGGTTTTTTATCTTGCATTAATCATAAATTGCGGCGATGTTTGGTACAGTAAGTATACAGTACAGTATCATTATCAAGCATAGTAATTATAAATTAATTACTTTTTCATAATTAATACGTCCCTAGTTAATTATAATTATAAATGATAAATAATTAAATAATCATATAAGGTTTTACACCAAACAAATAATAATATATTTTTTGGTAATTTTAAAAATATGTTTGATTTGTTTTTTAATTATTAAAATGTATTTCCTAATTATAATACCAGAATACAAATTTTGCTTTACTAATTTTTTTTATATAATTTTATTATAATAATAAATATTTATTTAGAGAGAAACAGAAAATTAAAAAAATCTGAGTGTGAAGAGAGAATTTGGGGGGTGGAATAAAAAATAACTTGGAAAAATATATTTTATTAAAAAAATACAACAAATATAAAATATCAAATACCTATGTAATATTATTACTCAAAAATATAGACAAAATATTAGTCAAAGAAAAGTATAACTAATAAAATACAAAAAAATATGCATCTAAAAACTATTTTTCTTCACATGGGAGCTAAAACTTTTTGGTTTAATTTTAAAATCTTTTAGGTTTTATCAATACCTTGTAAAACCTCTACACCTTCACTACTCGTCAGAGTTTGAGTTGGACTTTCTCTTTATGCGTCCCTGTTGTAGAAGGCACCCTTCCACTCGAACTTAAAGGATGGTCAATGAAGAGTTCCAACGATGGTATTACCTCCACCTTACCCTCCACCACTAACTTTCACAGCGCTTCCTCTATTAGGGCTAGTAATTTATCCTTAAAGTACTTAAGTTGTTTTACTGGCTCCCCGACATTGCCAGTCTCCATGTGAGAAATGCGTAGTATTCTTGCCATTTTCAATACACTAAAAGTGTGTAAAAATAAGTAACAAATAATTATTTTAAGATATTTTATGATTACCTTTTTCCATATAAGGATGGACTTAATGGCCCCGCCAGAAGATCTGTGCTTTGGCTAGTTCAGCATAAAACGTTTTTCCCAAGTAGGTATTTTTAGAATTTGTGGATTTTCCCAAATTGTTTTTAAGTTCATTTAATATATTAAATATCACCAATGATGTTTAAAACAATTATCTAACACAATTTTAGTTTAGTCTGCGACTTTTAGGTTATAAAACTAAGAAACTCCCTGTCCTAAAAACATTTATCGCTGTTCAGAAAGATTCAAGGTCAAGACTCTCAACATATGAGAAACGGAATACCCCTAAACATAGGTAATGTTTGGCTTGTCGTTGGGTGAACATACATGTTAAGAAATCGATGTTTACGAACAGCAAGAAAGGGAATAGGCCTCTAAGGCTTCTTGATTTCTAACAGTTTAAAAAAACATTTAATGATAACATTTCGAATGCGAATTTTTTAGAAACGGTTGAATTTATGAATTATGCTCAGAATTTTATAAGGAATCGAAAAATAAATTCATATATAGGGTGATCCATTGAAAAAAAATAAAGTTTTTGTTTTTCCCTGTATATTGATCAATTTGCCATTTTTTTAATACGTGGAAAAAAAGTATTTTTTAGTATCTACATAACCACACTTTTAAATTTTTTGGGACACTTAAAATAAAAAAGTTAAAGGGGGGCGACATTGTAGGGGATCACCCTGTACAGACACCACTAACTCATTTTAATTAAAAAGTGAATAATCCCAGTTTTGAAATGAACTTCCTCAACTATTAATAATAAAACCTACTGTGGTGAATTTTTTATCTCTTTCCACCATGGACGAACACATCCCTAGATCAGTACAAAATCTACCAAGTTGTCAAACACTGGTTAACATGATCCAATGGATAGAACCTCTATAATAGAAGTAAATTTTTGTTTAATTAATTTCCAAACAGGGGAAGCGCACGATTCTCCTTATCATCGGATTGATTGATCCGGACAGGAATTCTGAGTTAACCGGAGATCAAAACGGAAGCCGTTTTGTCATTTCCCGGCCCATGGTCGATTGACCAGTGGTCAATGACCACAGGACCGTGGTTGATTAACCACGGTTTAGGTTTGGGGGAGTTATCAGGGGGGCGATGACCCGCTCGCTGAAACATCCGCCCGAGGTGTGCGCTTACACCCTGTTAGGGGACCAATGACTAATGGTCGATTTAAAATTAAAATGCGCTGGTTTATAAGCGCTGAGAATGCAGCGACAGCGGTGAGATCTCCACTAAACAAATTCAGAGCCGACAACGTAATCACAATAAATTTTGTTGTTAATTTCTCTATAGTAATTACCGATATAATATACGAGGGCGTTCTGAAAAGTAAGGTATAATATTATGATTATGACGAATGAAATACATTAAAATAATGGTTTCGGCATTCACCATGGTTTGAAACCAGAAAAAGTCAATGGAGCTAAATCTAGACCGTATATAAGGAAGAATTTCAAATTAATCTTTAACCACTAGCCATAACCTTCTTAGCTGATTTGGCGCAAATTTGAGGTGACCAATTTTCTATATTCTCACATAAAAATGTAATAAATAATATTATTCTTATTTTTTTAAACTCCAGTTGTTTGTGGTTTATTGACATAGATTATTTTTTATAAAAACCATAAAAAATTTCCCTTAAATGTATTTTTGAAAATAATTTTTCACATGCATCCTTATTAGATGACCCTTTATAAATAAAGAAAGAAACAAATAAACAAAATAAAACAAAACTAGTATGTTCGTCTCATTTAATAAATTAATAAAATAATAAACATTTATGTAAAAAAATTCATATGGAATGATTTATTTCTTTAAATGCATCTTTAATCCTTGTGAGGAACATAGGATAAAACCAGGGCCGATTTGGGAGAAATTGGGACCAGGGTGGCATCCTTTTTAGCACTGAAATTAAAAGCAAATAATGAAAAAAAATCAAAATTTTATAAAAATTGTACACTTACTTGTGCTGCATGTACTCCGTCTCATTGTAGTTGGCACTGTACATTTGGATTGTGACCTCCGTCAATTTAGACAGGATCGGAATTTCTAGGGGGAAATTTACTACAACCCTATCGTCAGTTGGGTTAAGAGACACTATAAATCCTGGACTGCCCGGAATTTCCCTGAAAGAAATACACAAAATCGTTCCAATTAAAAACATTTAACGCATTTTTTAAGACTATTAGAATAATTTTACAATGAAAAAAATTATTAATATAAATGTTCACTAGGGTGTACGTTATTTCCCAAGCTATTGTTTTACTTGTGTATCATCTAAATTATATATTTGTTTACAGTCCAAATAAAATTGAAAAAAAAAAAACATATTTTTTCAAATGTCGTTTTTTTAATATCGTTTTTAAACTATAATAAATAATTTAGATGAAACCCCAGTAAAAAAAGACAAATTAAATAAAACTGATGAAATTCTGAAAAAATAAATATATTTTTTGTTTATTTTACACATTGTCCAATATTATTTAAATGTTTTACGAAAATATCGTAAAAACTTTTTTGTAAAGCGTAAAATTTCCTACAAAAATATGTCTTTTATATTGTTTTTTATCTATTAATTAGTGAGTAATGAATATTTTGTTTATGGTTTTGTTAAACCACATCGAATAAAACTATTTGTTTTCATAATTGGTTTTAGACTACAAACAAATAATTTAGATGATACCCAAGTAAAAAAATCCAACTTGTTAAATAACGGACGTTTATTCATGCAACAATTTAATTTGAAAAGGGTGATCAACTTACCTTTGCCTTAAATCCGATAAAATTAGTAAGCAGAAAATAATGTTTAAGTTAGCAAATGCCATGTTAAATACATACATAAGTAGCATACAAAGTTAAATAAATATCATGATTCCATGCCAAATAAATTTGCCGCCTCACATAACTTTTTCTACTAAATTGTTACTGTTATCTTTTCACCCCATCTGAAGTGTCAATATTAAATATTGCAATATTTAACTTTTTATGCATAAATTTTTTGTTTTTCAAAAAATACTTTTATTACATTCAGAACCTCATACACTCAATTTTATTCTTTCTAAAACTCAATTTCATTATTTCCAAAACTAAAAATATAGGTATAACCTATAAAGAAATAATTTCACATTATTCATACAACCAAACGTATTTTTCTTCACTCAAATTATAATTTCTATCAAAAGTGCTAAATATTCGTAAATTTTTATTTTAAAAATTATGTATACCCTATCAAGAAATCATTTCACATTATTCATACAACCAAACCAAACTTAAAATATAGGTATACCCTATAAAGAAATAATTTCTCATTATTCATAAAATCAAACGTATTTTTTTCCTCAAATTAAAATTTCTATAAAAACCGCTAAACATTCGTAAATTTTTCTTTTAAAAATTATGTATACCCTATCAAGAAATCATTTCACATTATTCATACAACCAAACCAAACTTAAAATAAAAATAAAATAATTTCACATTCAACCAAAAGTATTTTTTTTCACTGAAATTATAATTTCTATAAAAAATGCTAAATTTCTTTTTTAAAAATTATGTATACCCTATAATTATTTATACATATATATGGGTATTCCATATCAAATCACCAAATTTTAAAAATTGTATTTTTTGATTCAGTTATATTTTTGATATGTTTTTGTAAGTATCAAAAGACGCCTAACCCTAAATTTTGAGCCCTTAATTTTCAAAAGCCCAGAAGATATGAATTTTTGAAAATCGACAAAAAATAACTATACGATAATTTTCAGAAATTCATAACTCCTGCTTAAATTATCGTAACATCATTTGACCTGTGGCTATTTTCTTCGTTTTGAGAAGTAGTTTTTGAAAAAAATATATAAAAACCAAAATTTTTTGTTCACTGTTTTTTCTTAACTTTTAACTTTGACTTTTTTGAAAGAGCGACATGTTTGATTCTTTTGACTGGGATTCAATGGTTAAAAAAATACTAAAAAGTGGCTTAATAAATCGAAGATATTTGAATCCCACTTTCATTATGGGCCTAAAATTTTTTTTTACAGTCTATTATAACATTATAAATTATTTTCAAAAAATGTCGCTCTTCAAAAAAAGTTAAAATTTAAGTTTAAAGTTAAGAAAAACAAGGAAAAAAAATTGGTTTTTATATATTTTTTTCAAAAACTGCATTTCAAAACAAAGAAAATAGCCACCGGTCAAATGACGTTACGATAATTTAAGCAGGAGTTATGAATTTCTGAAAATTACCGTATCGTTATTTTTGCGATTTTCAAAAATTCATATCTTCGGGGCTTTTGAAAATTAAGGGCTCAAAATTTAGGGTTAGGCGTCTTCTGATATGTACAAAAACATATCAAAAATTTAACTAAATTAAAAAATACAATTTTTAAAATTTGGTGATTTGATATGGAATGACCCAAATACATTATTTATACAACCAAACCAAACTTAAAATATAGGTATACCCTATAAAGAAATATTTTCACATTAATCAAACAACCAAACGCATTGTTTTCACTCATACCATAATTTCCATCAAAACCGCTAAAAATACACCAACTTCTATTTAAGTTAAAAAAAAAAGCCCCACCTACCTTATAAAGGAGAAAACAGTCTTATTAGCGACAGCATGGTAAGTAGTGTTGCCCCACATAATGGATTTTGAGTTGTCCCTCAACTCATCCAGGGTGTGGTTGACCTTACCATTCTGCACCAATGGACAACCAGGTAGCAGGTATGTTACTATTTCCAGGGCATCTTCCGGCACAGCAGAAGTATTAACCTAAAAAAATGTTTAAATTTCGGTTGGTGAAAATAGTATCCCTGATATGAAAGAGGATATTTTACCTTCCACAATGGCCATCTAACTCCATCGACAGAGAAAGAGCTGTTGAGGGAGTTGACCAAATCGGTGACGTTTATGGTTTCTTTGTTGAACGCGTGGCTTTGCAAAGGCAAATCAACAACCAATTCGGTTCCAATTTTGAAAGCTTTCACTTTTTGCAGCTCTTCTTTGACCATGAGCGGTTTGGAACGCGTATTATTGTTTACTGCTGTTCTCCACTCCTTAATCAGTGGAGCTAAAACGAAGAATGACAAAATCGAACGTGAAATAATGTAAACTCATGCATAACTAGACAAAAATAAGCAATGTTTTTTAAGTTTCAGGAATTTATTTTAATTTTATTTTGACAATTGTTTCGCCAACAAAGTAGCTTCTTCAGAAATGATTTCAAATTTTATCTTATATCTAATCTAAACACAGTTATTGCAGGTAATGGTTTTTTTTAACAAATTTTAGTACTGTATGACAATTTTACCTATCAAAGTAAAATGTAACAACAGTTGGAATAAAATAATTTTGGTGCATTTTATATAATATTAGAATACATTTATTTTGTTTCTATTTAATCATTGAGGATAATATTAGATTTTTTTAAATTTATCAATTTCTAATGATTCAAGAAAATTTAACTTTGTACCTTTATCTGCAACATGTAAAATTTCATTTAACAATAAATTCAAAATTTTAAATGTTGCAGATATAGGTACAAAGTTAAATTTACTTGAAACATTAGAAATTAATAAATAAAAAAATTTGATATCCTTAATGATTAAATAAAAACAAATAATTCCCATCTGTTAAATTTATTCTAATATTATATAAAATTCCCCAAAATTATTTTATTACAACTGTTGTTGCATTATACTTCGACAGGTAAAACTGTCATACAGTACTAAAATTTGCTAAAAAAAAACCATTACCTGCAATAACTGTGTTATATAAGTTTGTTATTAGATAAAGCTTGAAATAATTTCTAAAGAAGCTACTGTGCTAGCGAAACAATAATTGTTTATAATTTGTTTCAATTTTATTTTGACAATTATTGTCAAAATAAAGTTGAAATAAATTCGTGAAACTCAAATAACAGTGTTTGTTTTTATCTCGTTATACATTAGTGACAAAATTATTTTATTACAACTGTTGTAACATTATACTTTGACAGGCAAAATTGTCATACAGTACAAAATTTGCTAAAAAAAACATTATCTGCAATAACTGTGTTATATAAGTTTGTTATTAGATAAAGTTTGTACTTAATCATTTTTGAAGAAGCTACTGTGCTAGCGAAACAATAATTGTTTATAATTTATTTCAATTTTATTTTGACAATTATTGTCAAAATAAAATTGAAATAAATTCGTGAAACTCAAAAAACAGTGTGTTTTTATCTAGTTATATATTAGTGACAAAATTTCCCAAAATTATTTTATTACAACTGTTGTTACATTATACTTTGACAGGTAAAATAGTCATACAGTACCAAAATTTGTTAAAAAAAACATTACCTGCAATAACTGTGTTATATAAGTTTGTTATTAGATAAAGCTTGAAATAATTTCTGAAGAAGCTACTGTGCTAGCGAAACAATAATTGTTTATAATTTGTTTCAATTTTATTTTAACAATTATTGTCAAAATAAAATTGAAATAAATTCGTGAAACTCAAAAAACAGTGTTTGTGTTTTTATCTAGTTATACATTAGTGACAAAATTACCCAAAAATATTTTATTACAACTGTTGTTACATTATACTTTGACAGGTAAAATAGTCATGCAGTACCAACATTTTTAAAAAAACATGTTATATAAGTTTGTTATTAGATAAAGCTTGAAATAATTTCTGAAGAAGCTACTGTGCTAGCGAAACAATAATTGTTTATAATTTGTTTCAATTTTATTTTGACAATTATTGTCAAAATAAAATTGAAATAAATTCGTGAAACTCAAAAAACAGTGTTGGTTTTTATCTAGTTATACATTAGTGACAAAATTACCCAAAAATATTGTATTACAACTGTTGTTACATTATACTTTGACAGGCAAAATTTGCTAAAAAAACATTATCTGCAATAACTGTGTTATATAAGTTTGTTATTAGATAAAGTTTGAAATCATTTCTGAAGAAGCTACTGTGATAGCAAAACAATAATTGTTTATAATTTATTTCAATTTTATTTTGACAATTATTGTCAAAATAAAATGAAATAAATTCGTGAAACTCAAAAAATAGTGTTTGTTTTTATCTAGTTATATATTAGTGACAAAATTCCCCAAAAATATTTTATTACAACTGTTGTTACATTATACTTTGACAGGTAAAATAGTCATACAGTACCAAAATTTGTTAAAAAAAAACATTACCTGCAATAACTGTGTTATATAAGTTTGTTATTAGATAAAGTTTGAAATCATTACTATGACAATTGTCAAAATAAAACTGAAATAAATTCGTGAAACTCAAAAAACACTTTTTGTTTATATCTAGTTATACGTTAGTGACATTAAGTTAAGGTCAAAACAATAAAATATATAAACTAACTCACCTAAATCTTCAAGATACTCTGTTTTCGTGTGCGTGTAGAATCCATAATCCTCAAGACCGAAGTTCACGTTCGTGCGAGGGGTTTCGTCTTCGAACTTGGGGCTGACCAAAAGGTGGGCAGCGTTTTTCAGCATAATTCCCGACGCTCCTTTTTCGATGAAGTTCTTGATAACGTTGGAGAACGCGTCGGTGACGTTCGGATTGCGGAAGTTGAGCAAAGGTTTTTGATTTACAGGTGCGTAGTAGAATTGTTTGCGTTTCGGAGAGTACTGCCATGCGCTGTGGTTTCCTCCAACGCTTTTCTAAAAATAGTGTCAAATCTTATAAATTAAGTAGGCACTATGCTCCACACTTCAAAGTCCCACCACGTGACCACGTACGGAACGCAGTCTTTTGAAAATTTGGCATTTAAGGCTTTTCAGGTTATGTATCTGTCAAAGTATAGTCAATGAAATAAATAATATTTATAGTGTTACCGTTTATGTTTAAGCGTTAAAAGTTAATAAATCTTTATAGTATCACAATAACAATGGTTTAAGAATTTAGGAATATAAATACTGCTTTTAATGAAATTCCAAAGTGTAAGGTGCAATATAAGTGATATTTTTGTGCATTGGGTCTACATGTCTCCATAAAATAGTTTTAACTAAACAGCATTTATTAAAAAAATCTAACTTCTCTATTATGAAATAAGAATATCTGTATCAAAGGTAGGTTAATGTATGAGAAAAAAAATATTATCTAATTTTGTATTTTAAGGTTAGAAAAATCTATTTTGACCAAAATAAATAAGTGGATTATTTGAAAGAGTGTTAATATGGTCATAAATAAATATAGGTATACTAAATAATTGTTAATAATAATATAGTTCAAATTAAATTGAAGCTTTTATACTTTTAACGACAAAACTTGTGCATACCTCTTGGCATACTTACTTTAAGTTAGATTATAAGAAAACAAACAATTTTTAGAGAAACTTGCTATGTGAAAATATTTAATACTCCCATGACATGTGATTTATTAAAATTTTTAAAGTTATAATGATTTTTTGATGTAGATCAAATTCAGTCTAAGCTTTTTAACTATTTGTATTGACAAAACTTTATGTAGGTACACTTTAAGCTGGATAAGAACAACTACCACATTTTTAAATACCATATTATACAGTCTTTTAAATAATCCAAAATACTTATTTATTTTGGTCAAAATAAATTTTTCTAACCTTAAAATTACAAAATTAGATGATTTTTTTGTTATAATATATTAACCTACCTTTAATACAGATATTCTTATTCCATAATAGAGAAACTAGATTTTTTAAATAAATGCAGTTTAGTTAAAATTATTTTATGGAGAAAACCAGATATTTGGACCAAATGCACAAAAATATTACTTATTTAGCACCATCCACTTTAGAATTTCATTAAATGCAGTATTCATATTCTTAAATCCTTAAACCATCCATTGTTATTCTAATGTTATAAAGATTTATACATTTTTAACGCCTAAACATAATATTATTTCTTCCGTTGACTATACTTTGACAGATACATAACCTGAAAAGCCTTAAATGCCAAATTTTCAAAAGACTGCGTTCCGTGCGTGGTCACGTGGTGGGACTTTGAGGTGTGGAGCGTCAGCGGTTTTTGAAACACCACTGTTAGAATATAAGCTCACTAGTGAGGTGAAGGTATTAAATCATTTCGTTTTTATGCAGTTTGGATCGTGACCTGGGAATCAACGCAGTTTTTGCGTAAATGCTATTCACCCATTGGAGTTGTTAATGAAGTGTATAAAATTCAAATTTTTTATACAATACAGCATCTGCATTCCAAAATATTCGGAATATTTAGAATATTAGGACTGATTGTTGTAAAGTTGTCTCAAAATATTTGAAAAAAAAACTAAAAACCTAAATCCCAAAAATTGTTATAACTTTGTTATTACTGGGAAAATTACATTAATCTACATTTAATCTATAGTTTCATCAAATTTCTTCGCTACTATGTTTTGCGTTACCATCACCATCTTTTGTTTTTATAATGACCACCATAACTTATGTTGTTTTTTTTATCTAACCGTGTAAAAATTTCAAAATGGCGGCCGTAAGAAAAACAAAAGATGGTGGTGGTACCTTAAAACCCAGTAGGCGAAAAAAATCCCAAGTTGGATACAAATGTAGATAAATGTGTATGTTTTCAAGTAAAACTTACTTTTTTTCAAAATTCGCAGGAATAAGGAAGTTATAACGATTTTTGGTTTTGACAGGTTTGTAATTTTTTTAATTACTTGAGAACCGCTGTTTTTTTCCAATTTATAGATGCAATTTTAATTATTTTTTAATTACATAATTGCGCAACTTTTGTCTAATTTATCTAAAGACCTTGTAGCTCTTCAAATAAAAACGATACTTGGTATAGGGGCATTCCACGTTACTCGGTAATTTTTGTCCCGCCCGTCACAATTCAAAATTGTAAGTAAAAAACACAAGTTATTAAATTAATATTTTATAATATTATTTTTATTGTGCTTATAACTTATTAAAAGCATAATAAACAATATTTTAAAATAAATTTTATAACGTGTAGTTTTTACTCACAATTTATAATTGTGACGGGCGGGACAAAAATCCCCGAGTAACGTGGAATGACCCTAAAGTCAATTTATTAGACTCACAAATTTAATAAAATTTTGTAAAATTGTAAAATACCTAATTGATATATTCTCATAAAAATGCATTTGTAAACTGCAAAAGTAATTTTATGAATAACATTTTAGGGTGAAATTGAAATTAAAAAAAGTTATGGAAAAAAATTATCTAAAATATCTATAGATATTATATTATAATAATAATATTTTTAACAAAAACGATTTAAAAGTTTAAAGTTCATTTTATAAAGATTTAAAATTGAGTTTCTCAAATATGTGCATAAATGTGGTAAAAATATGTTTTATTATAAAACTTAATAGTCCTAAAAATATTTTTTAACGCGTTTTTATTTTTAACTTTTTACAAAATATATCTATTTTTATGAAAAATAAACAGTTTTTTACAAAACATATTTATGTTTGTTAACTGTGAAAATATCCTTTATTGTCCTAAAAATCATTTTTAACGTGCTTTTATCAACAAAATCAGTTTTATGGTCTAAAACTCATTTTTTTTACAAGCGTCAGTAAAAGTATATTTTTTTGCAGTTCACTGGTTCTAAAGCCTCATTCAGAACCTCGTAATTAGTGGAATAAATTAGTGGTTTCAATTAACGTAAAAGTTTGTCTTATGAATATACACAGTGTTGTTCACAACCAAAAAATTAGTGGTAGTACTTTTCAATTAGTGAAAAAAGTTTGCAAACTTCTAACTTTTACCACTAATTATAATTGGAAAGCGGCTTTGCGCATGTGCGAATGTCAAAAGAAGAAAGTTTGAAGATTTGCCAGTGAAGTAAAGGTTATATAAATATTATTGTAATGGTTGTAAAAAATATTATTTTAATATAATTAATATTGTTTATGTCAGGTTAAGAAGAATGGGCATTTTTTTAGCAAATTCCCTTAATTTTAGATGTTAATTTTGCGCATTGTGAATGATCGTTTTGTGTTAATTATAAGTATAATTTAAACCACTAATTTTTTCCACTAATTAGAAAAACCTATTTTATACTCTCAAAAATTACTTTTAAAACGGTTCTATTAGTAAAATCAGTTTTATGGTTTCAAAAAAAATATTTTTCTGAAAACAAAATTAACTTTTTTACAAATAATTTACTTTAATACAAAAATCGTTTAATATGTTTTTGTTAATTAACAAAGACAAAAAATATTCTTAATGCAATACCAAATTTATTTTGATTTACAATATTTTTTGTTGGGTGATTTCATGTTACATTTAAATTATTAAAGAACAAACAATATTGTGATTGCTAATAAAAATAAATTTGGTATTGCAATTATAATATTCTTTGTTCTTTATTATTAAAAATGTTACTTAACCCCTTTATCCAGCTTTTTGTGATTTTTATAATAGTGATTAGCTAGGTACTTTGCAGGAAGTAAACAAAAGTAATAGAAAATCAAAAAATACTACACATCTTATAATGTTAAATAATAATTTTTATAGTAAGTACTATTTATGTATACTAAACTTACCCAATTATTTGGAGGTTCCTTGTCATGCTTTCCATCCCTCCAGATATAATAATCATCAAAAATGGGATGCTTCTGTTCAGAGTTATCAAACCAAACACTGGAAGTGCTGGGATCCAGCACCAAAACAACATTAGTCGTGTTTTCCTTGGCGCCCTTCAACAGTTTCATGATTTGATGACTATCATCAACTGCTGCATAAGCATCTTCATTCCATGCCTGGATAAAACCTTTAAAGTCTGCGTATTTCGGTGATTTTAGTTGGTCTAGAGTCACATCTGATGGAACTTCAACCAAAGGTCCAACTTCCCACCTTAAAACGACATTTCTTTTCTTGACTGATAACTCAAATTTAATTTTCTTACCATTCCTTTGGAGGCGGTGCGGGGCATTTAGGGGCTGTATAAATAATGGCGACGGCCCCTACCAACATTAAGGCCCACAAAATCCAGAAGCCAACGAATAGGGTCATCCTTAGCCTCACCCAGAATGGGTCGTTGGCGTATTTCATGAGTTCCTCTTTGGTAAGGCCCACAAAGGCTGGTTTTATATCATCTGAAAACAAAACGTTAATAATTTAATAATTATTTGCACTTTTAATTACAAACAACCATTTTTTTGGGCACCAGTTTCTTGTAGCTCCATTGTTAATGTAAATTCTTCCACAACTGAATAATGTTAATAATGTAATTTATTTTATTAATATAAATGCTGACTAAGAAAAATATTTGTAAATATAGATTATGCCAGCATTTAGTTGCTATTAGTTGATATCAGTACTAAGTGTGTAAGAATGTTTGAAATGTGAGTTTTTTTATTATTTAATTAAAACTATGTTTGAGATACTAAAAGAATATAAAACTTCTTAAAATATTTATACAATTTTTAAACTTTTTGAGAAGTTATCTATAATATTAATTATTATTATAAATATCATGTGTATTTTAAAAAGTTAACTAACTGGTCCAGCCAGGCCCGTACGCACGGGGGGTTTTGGGTGATCAAACCCCCCCCCAGAAGGGTTTTAAATTACAATTGTCACCCAAAATAGTAAAACATAACCTACGTCACAAAAATACCCCACTAAAAATGTTTCTTTACCCAACCAACAAAGTTACGAATGAGTATGAGTATGAGTATGAGTATGAGTATAAGAGACGTATAACCAGCCCCATTTCCTCTTGACTCTCGAACCCCGTACAGGCCTATGTTTACTTACGCCGATTTTTGTTCTTCCCCAGCAACTGCACGGCTTCACCCGTGTTTGCTGGGTGCGAATGTCCATTGCGTTCCGTACTGTCCCCTATTTGGGGCTCGAGAGCGAGAGGCGAATAGTTATAATAGCCATTCCCGGGTTCGCCGAGCCTATGCTATACGCTCGGTGGGGTATGGATGAGGGACGGGAGGGAGTTGGTTTTTGGGGGACAATTACGCCGACTTAAAACTAAGTACGACGCGGAATCCCCCTAGACCAGTCGATTAGTAATACTCCAAACATTTGGGATTACTATTTGGAGTTGGGGAGTTGTCATTTCGCTGCAGGGGTGTAGTTTCCTAGTCAAGGTCTTTGTCTTGTTCGTTATTGTCATTGTCCGTGTTCTGGTCAGATAGTTCCTGCCCTTGGTAAAGTGTGTCAGTTGTTTTTAATATTTTTGTCCCAAGCACATTTTGTGGTAGAGTTCCGTCTTTGTTTATCAAATTCCAAAGCTTGCATTTATTCACTAGTCAAACAAATCACAAGCGCGATTATTCTGTTGTCTAATGTTTACAAATCTCGAGTTTGGCTATTAGGCCCTTTTTTTAATGTGTTAGAATTATGTGTTCAATGTTAGTTTGCTCTGTCAGTCCAGTGTTTATTTCGGTCTCGATTGGGACCGCCTTACGCATTTGCTGTTGACAGACTTATTGCCCCACGCCGCGTGCCCTTCATGGGTTTTAAAGATATCCCAATAAACACTTTAACGATACCTAACACCATTAACATTGCCCGTGTAAGAATTTTTAACACTTTTTAATACAATTTTGCAATGATAGTAATTAAAAACAAAACAATTGTTTAAAGTTCTTAACATAATCATATTTTAAAGTTATTTTAACATTTTCAAGTAAAATAAATGTTATGTTTAATGAAATGAATACGGGCAATGTTAATGGTGACAAATAACGGAAAATGCTTGCCGTATTTATATTGCAGATTTGTATCAGGTCATGCATACTCTTAAAGTAAAACTTATCAGATTTTTCCCTTTGCGGATGGCCACCTCCCCTCTTCTCCGACCTCCCCCGTCCGTCCAGTGAAAAGCCTCCAATGACAGGTGGCACCCAAGTCATTCATATTACCCAACACTCCACTCCTCAATGACCGTTACACCATTTAGCTTGAACTCCATGAAAATGTTTGTTTCACTTATCAGTTCGCACCCCTTTTTTTAAATTATTGTTGGTTTCATCTTTAAACTTTTACGTTTCAAGAGCTCGCCCGCGTGACGCGACTCGTCTTCTCGAGAGCTGGAGCCGAACCCAACCCAACCAACAAAGTTACGAATTTTTCAAAAAAAAAAATTGTTTTCAAATACCTACTTATAACTTCCTGAAAGATGGACGTGAACCGGATTTGTTTTAAAGTGAAAAACTGTAAATACAAGGCCTGCTATGTCAGTTTTTAACAGTAAATTTTTAAGAATTCATATTAGCGATTTTTTGTCAAGTTATCCATGAAAAAAATATTGAAATAAAATTAAAGTTATAGTAATAGTACCATGTTACTATTAGTTTAAATTTATTTTAATGTTTTTTTCATGGATAACTTGACAGCATAAATTTTTGTAGTTATTATTGTGCATTTTTATACTTAAAATTTTTCAATAACATTTAGTATAGGGTCGTTTTGAGTGGTGGTGAATCCAGTGCCATGCTTAGATTTTGTTTAAAAAAATCGCTAATTAGCTAAAGTAGAAACCACGAATATATGAACGTGACTCATCCGACACATTCGTACGAAGCAATCTATCGAAGGTCACGGTCCAGTGCAGTCCAGTTTGTAAAAAATCTTGAGTAATGTTGGTTGCTATACTTATAATATATTTGCTTTTAAAGTTAAATTTTAATAATTAACATCTACGATAATTAAATAAAATGTAATTTTCTTAAAAACTAATTAATAAATAAACTTTTCTTTTAACTTTAATGAAATATTCTATCATCTGATGACAGAACGTACACTCGTGGCGACATCTCTGTTTTTAATATCTAACAAATTTTTAGACCGATCCAACCTCACTTTCTTCAAATTAAATTCTTTGTCTATGGTATTTTTTGGAAACGTAGAAAAAGTATAGTCTGAAACACGTTTGGAATTGCATATTCCCCTCTCGTGAAACCGTCAAACTTGTTACAGAATATACTATTCTTTTAACTGTAAACGCAAATATTTCAGAATTGGTGACAAAAAACAAAAATGTTTACGCAGGTCAGGTACAAAGTGAAAGATATTTAAATTGTGTGGATATAAAAACAACTTGCGTTAGTTTCACGAAATTTATTAAATATTGACAATTGTTTCGCTACACAGTAGCTTCTTCAGAATGTATTAAACTAATACTAGTACAAAATTTATATAATAAAAATATTTTTGTATTCTAGCCTAGAATTTCTGGGTAAGGATTTTTATACGACATCTACCTGTGTTACATAATATAAACCAATGCCACTACAACGTTTAAAACGATTATTAATCCGTAAACACACACCGTTTATTTAAAGTCCAAAAAACGTACAATAACAATTGCAATAAAGTCCAATAAACATGCAATAACAATTGCAATAAAAACCACTAGCACTACAACGTTTAAATCGATTATTAATCCGTAAACACACACCAGAAACACGATATGCAAAAACAAAGATCATATGACATATAAAAACAAATGGCCGACGGTAAAGTTGGTTGCCTTACTGTGTAATAAAATAAAATAAATGCCTAAAACACGAACTCTACTGAATATAAGTAACAAGCTAGGACAGGCGTCATATGTCCATCTTTGTCCAACACCTAGGCAGTTTTACATCACAGATGGCGCATTTTAGACCGGATGCTTAAAAACCTACGTGTGAGTACATTTACCGCTGCATCGAATGTACAAGACAAGTAAAACATTACTGCTAGCATGTCTGAGATATGTTCGGCACCCGATGAGTCACGTTCATATATTGGTGGTTTCTACTGTAATATGAATTCTTAAAAATTTACTCTTAAAAACTGACATAGTACCCCATGTATTTTGTAAAAATATGGCAAGATCTACACTTTAAAACAAATCCGGTTAAAATCGCACAATAAATAAAGATTTTACAGGGGTGTCGCAAACAAATGGATCATACTGCATATAGGGTTGGGAAAATTTCACTTTTTACTTGTACTTGAAATTTTCACGACATTTATGAAATTTATTAAAATTTCCTAAATGTCTGAAATTTCATGAAATTTATTAAATTTATTGAAACTTTCAATAAATTTCAATCACTTTAAGTGTAATATTGAAATAAGCCCACTCGGTGACCATGGAAAATTGCCTCTCTTACCTCCTACCCCTCTGTGGGCCCCTGCACCAATAATATAAATAGTAAATACCTATGTTTACCACAAATTTCTTGAGATTTCCGTTTAAAATATTTTTAAAATTACTAAAACTAAGAGAGATATAGCACTTTTTGGTAAGCTAATGAGATTGTGCCACTTTCATTGTTTTATATTTATATATTTATATATCGATGGTTATTTGACAAAACATCGTAAGCGACAAAACCTAAATTTTACAGGAGAGATTTTTTTTGTGTGGGAGCTTTATTTTTAAAGTTATTTATCTGAAAACTGGTGAGGCATTATTTTATTAATGTAGAATTCAAATATTTAAGTTAGATCGAATCCAATCTAAAATTTTCATTAAATTTTGTGGCATACGATATTTTATAAGAACATCTTTAGGAAAATGTAAAAATAGTCTTGTCGCTTAAGTTACATTTACGTTACTTTGTGGGATATAGATTTGATGATTACTTTTGTCAAAACATTGTTAGCGACATTTATTTTTTTACTTTTATTATTAAATAAAAAATAATTAGAAAAAAATTAATTTATATCACCAACGATATTTTGCCAATGTTTGAAAATGGAACTCTACATTAGCTTTCTTTGAAAAAAAACGAACGATTTTTATTCACAAACCAGTATCTAACCCATGGAGCCTACACAAGGAGCCCGAACTTAATGTCTGTGCAAACCAACCTTTAGGGACATTTTTGACAAGATGACAAGCAGTTTCAAAAAGTTGACAGAGAATCTAACCTTAAAACAACACAATCAACAATGAAATACGTCAAACTGACAACTTTCAGAAAGTAAGGTTAGTGGTTACTAAAGGCAGTTTTACATTTTGAAATCAACTGAATGATAGGTCGTTCAAAATTTTTTGGCCGTCATCTAACCGTTATAAATTTGAGTTAAATTATTTGACGTTATAACAACATACAATTACTACAAAAAACACTTTTAACGAACCACACTACGAAAAAACAATTATAATTAGGATAACTATTAATAATGCAATGCTAAAAAGGAATTATAAGCTTTTGATTAAATAAATTATTGTTTTAAAACTTGGTAGCAATCACAATCCACATTGTGGATTGTGGTAGCTATCACCATGATGCAGGTATACACATGAATAAACTGTTTAGAGCAGGAATAACGCCTTGATAGATCAAGGCGGGAGCACAATATTATCGTAAGCGACACAATGTTAAATCGAAAACGCCATGTCTCGGAGTTGCTTACGATTATTTGTCAGGAACATATAGGCGCTTACGTTATAAATCGGTAACAAATTAAAAAGAAGAGGCGCTTACAATAATAAAAATATTCAAACTGACCAATATTAGATTCCAAAATTGGAATAACTATTATGTTAACATGTGCAGCTTATCGTAACTGACACTTTGATAAAATAAAAAGTAATTCAACAAAAGTGTCGCTTACGATGTTTTGTCAAATAACCATCGATATTTTACTGAAATTTTACAAAAATTGAAGAAACTTCATCAAAATTTTATGAGCCAAAGGCATTTTTTATCCGTTTTCCGATACAATTATAGCAAAAAGTAAAAGTTTAAATTAATCATGACTTTTAAAAAAATTTTAAAGTCTGATTTAATTTACAAATTAAATTGGTAACTGAATTAAATTATTTAAATTAATTTATGCATATGGTAACAATAATTACTTATAGTGTATTCAAATTCAAGCCGAACTAAACAAAAACGCCCAGACGCTTGATAACTCGTTCTTATTGGTCGATTCGGAATCTGTTGTAAATTATTATTAAAGGTTCTAGGGGAGGCCGCATATGAAATTTATGCGAAATTTTCAGTAAATTCCGAAACTTTCAATGAAATTTCTGAAAGTTTCACAGGCAATGTTGAAATTTTCGAATTGAAAATTTCATTTGAAATTTTCAAAAATTTCACTTTTCCAACTAAATGAAATATTTCAAGTTTGAAACTTTCAAAGTTGAAATTTTCATTTGAAAATTTCAACTGTCCCAACCCTAACTGTATATATTTATGTATGTAATTTTTACCTATATATACAGTGTGACCCATTTGTTTGCGACTCACCCCTATAAAATCTTTATTTATAGAGCGATTTTAACCGGATTTGTTTTAAAGTGTAGATATTGATAAACTGTATTTTTGAAGCAAAAAACGCCATATTTTTACAAAATACAAGGCCTACTATGTCAGTTTTTAAGAGTAAATTTTTAAGAATTCATATTAGCGATTTTTTTAAACAAAATCTAAGCATAGCACTGGATTCACCAACCCTCAAAATGACCCTATACTAAATTTTATTGAAAACTTTTAAGTAGAAAAATGTACAATAATAACTACAAAAATTTATTTTGTCAAGTTTTCCTTAAAAAAAACATTGAAATGAAATTAAACTTATAGTAATAGTAGAGTTGGGGATGGTCAATTGACCGCGGTCAATTGACCAGTCAATTGACTGTCAATTGACCACTACCTATTTGACCGGTCAAAATATATTTAATTTTTGCAGCATTTTATTTAGGTATCAACAATTACCCGTGAATCTCAAATTTTTTGCGATCGTGCAATATCGACATCATTTACAATTTGGTGGTTTCCCGAGTCGAGGGGTTGCTAGGCCGGACTCGGCACTTTGCCCTTAAAGCGGGACATATCTTTTTCAATAGCGAAACATAACTTTTTAAAGCCGCACACACGTTTCCAAAGATGGACATAACTTTTGTAATAAAAAAAAATTGGTAACGAATTACCTATTTATTAAGTACCTACAAATAAATCACAGTAATATTTATTTTGACATTTTATTTAATTTTATTTTGGTCAATTGACCGGTCAATTGACCAAAAACAATTTGACCAGTCAATTCCACAACCCTAAGTAATAGTACCATGTTACTATTAGTTTAATTTTGTTTCGATGTTTTTACATGGATAACTTGACAAAATAAATTTTTGTAGTTATTATTGTGCATTTTTCTACTTAAAATTTTTCAATAAAATTTAGTAAAGGGTCGTTTTGAGGGGTGGTGAATACAGTGCCGTGCTTAGATTTTGTTTAAAAAAATCGCTAATATGAATTCTTAAAAATTTACTTTTAAAAACTGACATAGTAGGCCTTGGATTTTGTAAAAAGGTACTTAAAATTACATAAATAAATTATAAATTTTATATTGAAAACATGTTTGCAAACACAAAAAAATATGTTTACCAAATAAGTGCATTTAATTAATTCTTAAAACTAATAAAGCAACAGAAAAAACATCTTTATTAAATAAAACTTATTAAATATTTTTATTTAAAACCAATTTTCTAAAAGTGATAAAATAAATTGAATAATTAGAGGCCATAATTGACCACTAAAAGGGAAATGTCGTAACCTTGAGGCCATAACCACAATAAAAGAATGCTGATGCAATCTTTGAAATAAAATTCATAATACTTCAAACAAAATTTTAACTTAAAGTTATAATAAATTTTAATATTCGTTTTTACAGAGTCAACTTCTAAAATAGAGATTCCAAATCTTTTTATATAAAATAAACTCACCAATATCAAGTTTAGCATCCCCATTATGATTATCGAGAGATATCTTCACCTTAGATGTGCTGATATTCGAGTTTGGAGATATTTTAGTGTCCTCCTTGGGCAGCATCTTTTCATCTGCCCCATCCGCTTCAGGAGAGGCGGTTTTCACTTTGACAAGTGATTTGGGTCGAGAGGCTGTCTCCTCTGAAAATAACTCGTTTTATATTTATCCGAACGAACGCATGATGCAATTTAAGTTATTTTATAATTATTACCTTCCATGTCTTTCTCTGAAATAGCCGTGTAACTTGCTGGTGGACTGTCGTCTGATTTTTTCCCTCCGGAAATGTCCAATTTTGCCCCTTCCATGTTTTAAGCCGCTTGCGGGCGTATTTGTACGATAATTACGGATTAGAATGGGTCAGTTGAGAATGTTCTGTGTTGTTTGTAAATGGTTTTATTCACTGTAAAACACAATGCCCTAAATAGGGAACTTGTATCGGTATCAGTCGCACGTTTGACGCGCGAAACCTAACCCCAAAAATCAATAGAGTTTGGTGTTGCCAACTATGGGAAGTTGCGGTCAACCTACTTTATCTTCAAGGATTTTACGATTGTGTGAAAAATCTCTGGTTGCGGTTTTTAAATTTTATTTTAAAATTGATTTTTATATGTTTATTTTGCACAAGAATGTTTGTAACATGACCAATTAAATTGTTAATTTCATTCCATCATCTCTTAAATTAATTATTTTATGTTTTAATTAAATAATAATTAGAAGATAGATTATAATAATATATAATATAATAATAATTAGAAGAAGTTTATAATTCTGAACATAAATTTGTTTAAAAAGTGCTGACGTTTGCGGGTATTTTGATCATGATTGCGGGTATAAAATTAAAGCGGGTAAAAGCAGTATTTTGCAAATTTCGATCAAAATACAAACTAAAGAAATGTTCACTAATAATAATGTATACATATTTACTTAATTTACATAATTATGTTCTATTCTATTCAATTCATATGGGGCAATCCATGCCAAATCACCGAGGTTTTGACCCGACCCCCCTTCGATTTCGCTGAAACTTTTTTATCATTTTCTATAGGATATATCCTACCAAAGACATTTTTCTGAATTTTTTCAGATTTTTTTACCCAACCCAAAAAAAGTTACGAATTTTTGAAAAAAACCGCTCTTGTATTTTAAAATTGCAATAACTTTTTCACAAATTGACCTTTCGGCACGTTTTTTTTTTTGAAATTTTTTTTTTTATTGTAGTTTTCAGAAAAAAATACAAACAATTTTCCGGAAGTCACGATATATGAAATATTTCAGTTTTTTCAATAAAACCGTCATTTTTTCGAATTCTGAAACCTTCGATTCTCAATTTTTTTGTCTCAAAAAAAACTTCAACTAAGACAGTATTTAACCCCACTATTCCCCTTTTTTGCCGACTTTCCATTCTATTGTTTTTTTTTTCGATTGAAAATAAAGAAATTTCTCAATTTGGCTTATTTTTTATGACTTTGCGTTGAGGTTTTTTTTATTGTTTTTAAAAGCTCAGAAGTTGAATAAAATTGGATAAAAACAACCGTAAATTTTTTATTAAAGTATTGTTTTTACATCGTTAAAAATCTAAATATTTTAATTATTTTCCTCGGTTTAGCGATTGTTTTCTTGAATTCTTAACCGTACAATGTACGTAAACGTAAACTCTTTTTAAGAAACAAAATAGTCTAATTCACAGTTTAAAAAAATATCAAAACATTATAATGTTTTATAATAATGTTTTATAATAATGTTTTATTTAAAAGAGGTGGTAAAATAATAAAAATGTGAATTTTTTAAAAAATAACACTTTTTATAAACTATAGTTATTTTTTTAAAAATTCACATTTTTATTATTTTACCACCTCTTTTAAATAAAAAACAACGAAACGTCAAGTATACCTAATTTAAAAAACATATATTTGAATGTGATTATAATCGTCTTTCTTTATAATTTAATAACACAAATTCATTCTTTAACACAAGTTCATTACCATCAGTCACTAAACATCCACCATAACCTTTCGTACTTTCTTTATGTTTTTTTATTACCATAACCTTCCGTACCTTGTTTAATGCAAGTTCATTCTTTAACATAAGTTCATTCCTTAAGACACAACATTGTACGGTTAAGAATTCAAGAAAACAATCGCTAAACCGAGAAAAATAATTAAAATATTTAGATTTTTAACGATGTAAAAAAAATACTTTAATAAAAAATTTACGGTTGTTTTTATCCAATTTTATTCAAGTTCTGAGCTTTTAAAAACAATAAAAAAAAACCTCAACGCAAAGGCATAAAAAATAAGCCAAATTGAGAAATTTCTTTATTTTCAATCGAAAAAAAAAACAATAGAATGGAAAGTCGGCACAAAATGGGAATAGTGGGGTTAAATACTGTCTTAGTTGAAGTTTTTTTTGAGACAAAAAAATTGAGAATCAAAGGTTTCAGAATTCGAAAAAATGGCGGTTTTATTGAAAAAACTGAAATATTTCATATATCGTGACTTCCGAAAAATTGTTTGTATTTTTTTCTGAAAACTACATTTAAAAACAAAAATTTCAAAAAAAAAAACGTGCCGAAAGGTCAATTTGTGAAAAAGTTATTGCAATTTTAAAATTCAAGAGCGGTTTTTTTCAAAAATTCGTAACTTTTTTTGGGTTGGGTAAAAAAATCTGAAAAAATTCAGAAAAATGTCTTTGGTAGGATAGAAAATGATAAAAAAGTTTCAGCGAAATCGAAGGGGGGTCGGGTCAAAACCTCGGTGATTTGGCATGGATTACCCCATATATTTTTTTTCTCAAAATTTTTCAATAAAATTTAGTATAGGGTCGTTTTGAGGGAGGTGAATCCAGTGCCGTGCTTAGATTTTGTTTAAAAATTAAAAAAAAATATGAATTCTTAAAAACTTACACTTAAAAACTGACGTTGGCCTTGTATTTTGTACTAATATGACGTATTTTGCTCCAAAAATACAGTTTATCAAGATCTACACTTTAAAACAAATCCGGTTAAAATCGCACAATAAATAAAGAATTTGCAGGGATGAGTCGCAAATGGGCCACACTGTATATGCATAATAATACCTATTTTAGAATTTTAAAATTTTAAATTTAAATTTTAAATTTTAAAATTTTAAAATTTTAATATGAAATTTCATGGATAACTTGACAAAATAAATTTTTGTAGTTAGAACTACAAAAATTTATTTTGTCAAGTTATCCGGATGGCCATGAAAAAAACATTGAAAAAAAATTGAACTTATAGTAATAGTAGGGGCATTCCACGTTACTCGGTAATTTTTGTCCCGCCCGTCACAATTAAAAATTGTGAGTAAAAACCACAAGTTATTAAATTAATATTTTATAATATTATTTTTTTGTGCTTATAACTTATTAAAATTATTATTATTATAGGGGATCACCCTGTACATACAAATTATTTAAAAAAATATTTTTTTAATAAAATATTAAAAAAATTATTATTTTACCAAATTTCTCTTAAATTAAAAAAATTCTGATTTAAAAATAAAAATCACAAAAAAGTTCAAAATTATTAAGAAATAATAAAGAAATTATAATATTTATTTAAATAAAATACATATCTCGAGATCGGTTAATTTTTCAAAACTTAAGTCATAAAAAAATCGCAATGATGAATCAAAATTTATGAAGAAGATTACAATATTATTAAATTAAAAAATCCCAATATTAAAAAAAATACAAAATCTATTCAGTTTAGTTTTTACTTAAACAAAAAAAATACACATAACTTTTAGTAATTTATTTTATAAAGTTTATAAATTTCACCGTGTACCTACCTACCGAGCATTACCATAGAAACACAATGACAACAAACGAAACATCATTAGCGACATAAAAATGTATTCTGCTAACGTTATAAACGACGGCGATTTCACCAAAACCATCTACAACCTAGTAAAACCCGCAATAAATTTAACAACATCAATGCATCATTATTTGTTCTAGATTAAAGACAATCGTTTCAATGACGCAATTAAAGTGCTACACGGAATTCCAGAATCGAACTCCACAAGAGCCGGGTTGTCACTATTGGCCTATTGTTACTTTTACATCCAGGATTTCAACAATGCCGCTAGTTATTACGAACAACTCATGGAAATATACCCGGAAAATGACGATTATAAGTTATATTACGCGCAATCACTTTATCAAGCTTGTCTTTTTGACGAAGCCTACCAAATAAGGTAAAAAATAATATGAAAGTAAGTTACACAAAAAAATATTGTATTTTGTAGTAATAAGCTAGTGGATAAGGATGATTACAAAGGCCAAATCACAAAATTACAGGCTGCCATTAAATACAGCCAAGAAGACGTTCTATCGGCGAAAAATTTGGTTGACAGCTGCCCATCCGATGATCCAGATAAGGAAGTGAACTTAGGATGTCTTCTGTACAAGGTAATTTTTTTTCTCCCACCCAAATGCTTTAATTATTCACCCAAGTCATTCGAATCAATCGCAAGTATGAAACTGGTTTTTGTATCGGAGTCGGCTTTTTCTAGTTCTTCAAGTCTTTTTTGTCTGAATTCCTTCCAAACATCAGCCTTCGGACATTCGCAGATATCTCTGCAGTCTTCGCACCTCGTTGGGTACATTTTTTCCAGGAAATACTCGCAAGCGTATTCTACAACGTCTGAAGGTTTTTCTTGATAGTCTCTCAGATATGTAAAAGTGAAGTCCAAAAGAACCTTAAATAAAAATTTTTAATAAATGCATTTATTAAAAACATGCTCTCCATCATACATATATGTAACAGCATATATGTTGTTTCCAAATTTGAATGGATGTAGTCTCATCATGTAGATATGGATTGGATGGCATATAAATTTAACAAAATTAAAATCTTGCCTGATCCAAATTTGATCTTGGAATATTCAATATTGGTATTGTTCCACCAAGTTCTTTTTTACAGTATCATCTAAATTATTTATTTAGTCAAAAACAATTTTGAAAAAAAAATATTTAGTGTCGTTTCACCATGCCTAAATGACATTTTGGTGACATAATAAAATATTCATAACTCGCTAATTAATAGACATAACACAATCATATAACTATGACGTTGTGTGTGGATTGTCAAGCCACACACAAAGTCGCAGATTATAAACCCTGATAGCAAAATTTGATTTTAAGAATCTCCTAAGAAGATATAAGATATATTATGACCCGGAATAATGGAATATTCTTCCCTTATTGCTAAGAATGTTCTTAGGAACTTTTAAAACATTCAATAGATACCCTTTTAATGATGCAATTAGATTCTTAAAAGCTTCTTAAAACCTTATTAAAAAGCATCCCAAGAACATTTTAAGAATACGTTTTTGGAATGTTCTTATGGAGCTTTTAGGAAGCTTTTGAGAATATTCCCAAATATGTCAGATACCCACGTTCTAATATATATGTTGTATTCTACATTCGTAAAATTCTTCAGGAGACGACAAATACGCCTCACTGTCATAATATGACAGTGAAATGTATTTGTCGTCCCCTTAAAAAAAATTGGGACATATTAATATATTTATTTAAAAATATTAAATAAACAATTTGACCTCTAAACCATAAGTTGTATGACATTATTTTATAAAAAGTAAAATTGGAAAATTTTGTGGGATAAGTCAGATTAGATTGAAGTTAAAGATAGTTAGGATTATTATACATAAAAATGTTAATTTAGAAATAAAAAATAGGTATCCAAAATTAATAAATATTTATTTTTAACATAAAATAAAATACCTATAGTAAAAGTATTTTTGTTATCGAATATTGTTTTAATTTAACAAATAACTATAAAAAAATAATTTGGATTATGTTTTTTACTTAGTATTTAATACTAATTACTTATTAGGTACTTAAGTATGGGTATAAGTATACCTTTATACGTAGTTTATGGTATATTTTACTATTATATAGGTAACTGAACTAAATATGCTTAACAGGAATTAAAAATGAACTTTCTATAGCAATTACTTTCTTAACATTCTAAGCATATGTTTAGAGTAGACTAATTTTTACTACTAAAACTTAAGTGCAATTTAAATTTGCACCTTCTAAGAACCTGCCTATAGGCCAGTAAGAATATTCTTAGGATCATGCTATATTTCTTTTAAGCATATTCTTTAGAAGAAATATAGCATGATCCTAAGAATATTCTCACTGGAAGGTTTAAAAAACATTCTTAGAATAAAGTGTGCTATCAGGGAAGGTTTTATCTCGTATACTAAAAATCACAAAGTTATGCAACCCACTGCACAGACTTTAAAGTCGGCTATTTTTAGAAATTTAACGCTAAAATTTTTTTAATTTTTTTTGTAAAGCCATCCATTTAAATGATATCGGATGTCAAAGTTTAAAATATATAAAATAATTAAATATTAAAAGAATCATCACTTAGGCAGAGTTAAACGACATGAAAAAAACAATTTTTTTGAAAATTATTTTAGACTGTTAACAAATAATTTAGATGATACCCAAGTAAAAAAGCAACTTAAAAACTTAAAAAAGAAAGATAATGACAATACTTTTAATTTTAATTTATTTAAAATTTTGACTTCCATTTTACCTCATTTTTAAATTGTTATAATATAATTTATAAATATATTAAATAATAATTTAGATTGTAGCCAAGTAAAAAAATCAACGGTACACCTTAATATCTATCCATAGATTTTCCAGAAATTCTAACTCAAAAGTGGGCGATTTTTAATATTAATCAAAAACCTAGTGATGAAGCATTTCTCAGGTTAAATTCAAATTTAGGGCTTCACAAACTTTCTGATTCTAACAATTGTAGCCTTGTCTTATTTACCTTGGCAAATTTTTGTACTTCTTTAGGATCTTTTCCATCTTTTAGTATCTGTAAAAGCCAATTATCCTGCAAAAGCATTTTGTAAATAAATATCTTGATTTTTGAGTTATTAAAAATGTTGCAAATTTGACATTACGTAATTACATAGTAATTGTTGTTATTTTTATACAGGATGGAAATTATGAGGAGGCTCTACTGAAATTCCAAAATAACATCCAAAACCAGGGTTTCAAACCTTATCTAGCCTACAACATAGCCTTATGCTACTATAGAATGAAAGACTATGGACCGGCTTTAAAACATTGCGGTAATTTTACAAAATATTTCGAAGAAAAAATTTTAAAATTAAATATTTTAGCTGACATAATCGAAAAAGGAATCAGGGACCATCCTGAATTAAGCATCGGCATGCAAACGGAAGGGATAGAAGTCAGATCCGTGGGGAACACTCTAACCCTACATGAAACCTCGTTAACGGAAGCTTTTAACTTAAAGGCTGCTATAGAGTATCAACTTAAAAACAGTAAAAACTGTAAAATTTGTAAATTATTTTTTATTTTGTTCATATTTTTTTAGTGGATTCTGCAAGAGAAGCCTTAACAGATATGCCACCAAGAGCTGAATACGAATTGGATGCCGTAACTTTACATAATCAAGCTTTGATGAATTTTGAGCAAAATCCTACGGAAGGCTTTGAAAAATTGCAATTTTTATTGCAGCAAAACCCGTTTCCACCTGAGACGTTCGCGAATTTACTTCTTCTCTACTGCCAACACGAGTATTTCGATTTAGCTGCAGATATATTGGCGGAAAACGCCCATCTCACATACAAATATCTGACTCCAGTATTATTTTAGTTTTGGGTGTTTTTATTTCTCACTTACTGAGTTTTTTAGTACATGTATGATTTTTTGGACGCCATTATTACCTCACAAACCTCACCAAGCGATGCGTATCAAAAACTGGACGAGCTTGCAAGTAGACATACTGAGTTATTGAGAAAACTTACCAAACAGGTGCAAGAACATAGAAATCATAATGATACGGAAATGATCAAGAAAACCGTCATGGAATATGAGGAATGCTTGGATAGGTATAGTACAAAATTTAACCAACATTCTACTGTTGAAATGAAACGTGTACCTATATACTATATAGTACAACAGTACCTATAGGTACTATATAGTACTACAGTACCTATATGTACTATAGTATATTATTATAGTACTCTATAATATAGTACTTTATATAATAGTACGTACGAATTTCAGCTGAAATCAAAATATTTTTTTACAGAACTGCTTAAAATATACGATATAAAAGTTTTTAATTGTGTTTTGGTATTGGTTTAAATCGTTTTCCATTATATTGAATCGGAATTTAAAATAGAAAATATTTTTTCAATTATTTTCAATTTGTTTTTATCGGTCTGAATCGGACAATATTGAACTGAGATTTTAATTGGTTTTAATTGAAGTTCGTTCGATTTCGTCAATTTCAATTGGTATGAATTGGAAATAGTACAATCGTTGTACAATATAAATAAATAAATAGTACAATCGTTGAACAATAAATAAATAGTACAATCGATTAATAAATAAATAGTACAATCGTTGAACAATATACGTATTTTGTTCAACGATTGAGAAACTTGGGCAGTTTAACGAGGATGAAAATTTGCAATTTGAGTCGAAGGCGAGTTGAGTAATTTATCCGAGTGGAAATGGCCAACTTTCTCAATACTATACTTTTTTTACGTTTGTTAAAGAATTTTCAAAAATTAATTATTTTCAACATTAAATGTCAGATGGTTTTTAACCTCACTTACACTTTCTCAACGGAAAAGCAAAATGTTGTCGTCTCATTGGACAGTAACTGTGGACAAAATAATTATGTTCTCCACGGTTTAAAAATGAGTAACTTTCTCAATGGAAATTCGTGGAAAAAGTACACATTCTTTAATTTGATTAAAAAAATAATTTTAAAACTATTGAACCAAGGTTTCAATCGTTTTTATTTCACGTTCGATTTTATCACTTTCTGCTTGAAAATGCTGTCAAAATGACAGCTGTCAAAATAACACGTGATAAAATGACACATGCCAAAATGACAGCTGTCCGAATAACAGTTGACAAAATGGACCCTGAAAAATGATAGGTGTCAAAATAACATGTGTGAAATTGACAGGTGTCAAATGACGTCAAAATAACATGTGTTAAAATGAGTGTCAACATGACAGGTTTCTAAATGGAAGGTGTCAAAATAAAAGGTGTCAAAATGACAAGTGTCAACATGACAGATGTCAAATTTACAGGTGTCAAAATGACAAGTGCCAACACAACAAATGTTAAATTGAGAGGTGTCAAAATGACAAGTGTCAACATGACAGATGTCAAATTGACAGGTCTCAAAATTACAGGTGCTCAAATGACGGTTGTCAAGATGACAGGTGCCAAAATGAAGACCTTCAAAAAGGAAAGTGCTGAAATTACACCTGTCAAAATGACAGGTGTCTAAATGACAGCTGTCATTTTCACAGTTGACAAAATGAAAACTGTCAAAATGACAGGAGAAATCGTTAGTAGATTTATGATCAAAACAATACTTAAATCAAATTTTTATCTAAACAAAACGATTTCTCAAAGGGAGAAAGAATATTGAAAAATATTCAAAAAAGATCTTATAATTATTACAGCTAATAATTGTTTTATTAATATGTGTAATTAATTCTTCCAGATATATCCCAGTTCTGATGGGGCAAGCAAAAATTTACTGGGATCTTGAAAATTATCCACAAGTGGAAAAAATCTTTAGAAAAAGTGTGGAATTCTGTAACGACAACGATATCTGGAGGTTAAATGTGGCTCATGTTTTATTTATGCAAGAAAACAAGTTTAAGGAAGCAACAGGGTTCTATGAACCTTTGGTCAAAAAAAGTTATTCTGATGTAAGACAAAATATTTGTGTTTTATTTTAATTGATATATTTTTTGTAGATTCTAAATGTTAATGCCGTAGTTTTGGCAAATCTATGCGTTTCTTACATTATGACATCTCAAAATGAAGAAGCTGAAGAATTAATGAGAAAGATAGAAAAGGAAGAAGACCAAATGTCTTTTGAAGAGCCTGACAAAAAATATTTTCATCACTGTATTGTTAATTTAGTTATTGGGTATCTTTCAAAATCTTTATTTAATAATTTGTTGTATTAAATTCATTATTTCAGAACCTTATATTGCTCTAAAGGAAACTACGAATTTGGCATTTCAAGAGTTATGAAATCTTTGGAGCCTTACAACAAAAAACTGGGTACTGATACTTGGTTCTATACGAAAAGATGTTTTTTGAGCTTAATTGAAAATCTAGCCAAACATATGATTGTTTTAAGGGACTCCATCATCCAAGAATGTATTGCTTTTTTGGAAAGTTGTGAAAGTACCTACGTGAAATTTTAAAAATTACACAAATTTTAATGACATAATTTTTAGTACATGGAAAAACTGTCAGAACCGTTGCATATTCTTCATTTTCCGATGAAAATGAGTCAGCAAACGGAAAAGAAACCGTAACCTATGAAGCCAGAAAATTAAAATGTTTACTTATGAAACTACAAAATTTTTAATTTGTACCAGTGTAACCGATTAAAACAAAATATAAATTAGAATTTTGGGTATTTTTTTATAGTGCCCCCTTTAATAATAAAACATTATATAAGTACAAAAAATATTGTATGTTTACGATCTGGGATTTTAGGCACAATTTGGCAACACAGTTTCAAAACCGAAGAACTTTGTTCAGGACGTTTTACTAGAACTACTTTCCAAAAACCACTGCTACTTTCACGCCTATTTTATCAAACATATCCAGTGTTGCCAATTTGTAAGGAATTTCTCAAACTGCGGGGATTTAAACATTTTACCATTAGTATAATAATTGTGGTGAATAAATTGAATATTTTTTTTTAAATATCCACATTGCTTTACACATGATAGATATAAATGAATTAATAATATCGATCTTTTATTAAAACTAGTTTTGGTGAATTTAGAAAATTGGCATTGGCAACGCTGGAGATATGTCTGTTTTTATCACGATACACATAAACCGGTATGCTGATGCGCATGTTATAGCTGTCTCTCTCGCACCATGTGACGTCATGTGCGGACCAAAAGCTTGCGGGTAATTTGGTTGGAATGTTATTTGCACTACAAATTCACGTTATATTTGAAAATTTATAAATATAGGGACGGTCTGGGTGCAATTATTAATTGTAACAAATGTTTAGAGAAAGTTTAATTGGCAGCAAGCGCTTTTAAAACTAATTTTAAGCAACAATTAATTTCATAACCTTCCTATTATTATTTTTCGAAATAATTTTTATTTAAGTAATTAATTTAACATACTTACGCTAGTCCGAATTTTACATTTTTGTAATGTTAAAGGTAACAAAAAATAAAAGTGCATTTATACAGAAAATAATAATGCAAGCTTTAAAAATATCTCAAAACTGCTTTTTTTAACTTGTGACACTTTTGAAGCTGGTTTTCGATACAATTGTGATTTAATTTTTATTATTAGTAAATTTAAACATTTTTTTCCGAATTTCTTTTGCTGTTATTAATACTAATTTGTTGATTTAATTCGCGTAATCGAATGTTCACGTTCTGCTTCGTGATATGGTCTGTAACCAGTCTGGTACTTTTTCAGTGTTTAATATTTTGATTGTAAGAATGCCAAGAGTAGGGTAATTGTTTCTAATGACTTCATCTTCTTTTTTCTAACCTCAAAGAACAACTGGTTTCAACATATTATGTTGCTTTTGATTTACAATGCATCAGGTTTTAAGTAGCTGTTATTTTTTGGACAATACTGTAGCAGCCTTTGATTTAATGGTATTTCAAAACTACTTTCGGTAAAATGCACAGAACAGATGCAAGCTGTAAAAATTATGAGGTTAGGATGAAAATTACCATATGTACATAACAGAAAATTGGATATACAAAAAGTTGCCTTTAATTACCGTTTTTTAAATTAATTTTATCTTTCCTCTTGCATGCATTCACCCACTGCGTTGCCAGATCTTTATTTTTTGGGAAACGAAAATATTTCGTGTTACTGCCTTAGGTGTTTTTATTCAAATTTTTGCAGTCTCCCACAGCACAGCCCCGCATATTTTAGTGTTATTAAGTCCAACAAATTAACACAAACCTAATAAATAACCTGGTATGAGACTCCCGTATGTGGCTTGTAAATAGTTATTGCTGTTCAATAAAGCAGTAAAAACTTTACGACACACGATGCAAAGCTCACTTGCTACCTTAAGCCTCGAAAAACACAATAATTTCGGATAAAACTCAAAATAAATGGTAGTAAAGCACTTGTGCATAGTGTATTCCTATGCAAAACATTTGAATCTGGTTCGTACGTGACGTCACATGCGCGGAGTCGACGAGTTTTCGTTTCATAACCAGCATACCGGTTTATGTGTATCGTGGTTTTTATCTAACGATAATTGATTCCTGATTCCGACGTCGGTGTGAACGGTTGTGTACACGATTGACCTTAGCATTGACCACGACGAATTTCGGCACTTCTTGAGCTTGGCTGCATTCCCAACTGTTAGTGTTTACCTTTCCTTTGTTTTAATAGGAGCATATCATTTAAAATAAGTTTCATTTGGCACCGCGACCAGCATGGCCGGTCGCGGCCGCGGAAAGCCACCTGATCCGGGTGTTTCTCAGACAGGGGCTAACAATTATTTAGATGATAAAGTAGTAGATAAACATTTGATTGATGCTGCTGAGAGTCTCCTATCACTTGGAGATACTCCTGCCGCTATTACATCGCAATTAGCTGACAAACAAAAAACGCATTCTTTTGATAAAAAAACGGAGCGTGAAAAAACGGAGCGTGAAAAAACTGAACATTATGTTGAATTAAATAAAATGTACAATAAAATTAGATACGGTTTATACGATCCGGGACCATTTGTCATTAACGTACAATCAATGGATTTATCCATTTTAAATCATCAAAAATTGGGAAAGTCCTTATTTACTGATAAATTGCCTAATATTATTCGGGTTACAAAAAGAGGTAAAAACAGATCTGCAATTTATTTTAAAACTTTTGAATCCGCCAATCAATTCTTGGATAACGAAACTTTTTTGAAAAATAATAATCTGGTTGCCTCAATTCCAAGACACTTAATCTCAACAAAAGGTCTTATTAGAAACGTCGATGTAGATTTCACAGAAGAAGAAATTAAGGAAAACCTAGCGGCTATGAATACTAAAAGGGATATCCTAGAGGTAAGAAGGATTAAAAGAAAAGAACGTACAAAAGACGGTGATATCAATATTGTAAATACTTCAATGGTCATATTCTCCATCAGGGGTAAATACATCCCAGAACGTATGGACCTTTTCTATTCCTCACATTTGACTTCCACATATATAGAGCCGGTTATTCAATGCTTTCGATGCTTGCACTACGGGCATACCATTTCTCAATGCAAAGGTTTCGAATCATGTGACAAATGTGGGGACAAGATGGAGAATAAAGATTCTCATAACTCCTGTGTGATTAAATGTAAATTTTGTGATAAAGCTCATTCCTCCACTGAAAAAGGGACTCCTTTCAAAGATAGAAAGTGCCCAGAGTTCCTAAGACAAAAAACCATCAAAGAAATTATGGCTAAGTATAAACTTACATTTTTTGAGGCTTCCAAAAAAGTTCCTAGGATTAAAAACTCGGTTTCTCCTAATGAAAATTCGACTTTTAATCCTTTATCCAGTCAATTTCCCCCCCTTTCTTCACAAACTGTTCCTGATGACAGTGTGGAACATTCACCCTCTAAAAATAGAAAATTTACCAAAGTTATTTCAAAGGTGGTTTCCCAACCGGTTAAAAGATCAGCCCAATTCTCAGAGCAGGCCCACGTCAACCAAAGCGGAAGGCTTCCAAATAGTCCTCAAAAATCACCGTGCTTTTCAAAGTCAAGTACTACTCAATCGTCCACTGAGGTACCTGACGTTAATAACACTTTCCTACAGCTATTTATTCAATTATCCAAGTCTAATCCAGACTTGTTAATTCAGCTATATAATGAATTTTTTGGTTCGGTCGATTGCAACCCTGATCAGGCAAATGAAGTCATGGTCATGGGGAGTGATAACGAATCTATTTAAATTTTATGGTTAGTATAATTCACTGGAACCCAAGAAGTATAGTTAACAAACGCCACGAGTTAGAACTCTTAATTCATAATAACAATCCAGATATAATTTCAATCTCCGAATCTTGGATTAAACCCAATAACCAACAATTTTTCTCACACTCTAAATACAATTTTGAACCTTGCTGCAGAGCTGATGGCAAAGGAGGAGCTGCCCTTCTAATAAAACGTAATATCAGATATTTTGTTGTTGATTTGAATTTTCAATTTAACGAGGTTCAAGCGGTAGCTATCAAAATTAACGACTGCATTTATTGCACAGTTTATATTGCTCCGTTATTTAAATCCACTAAAAGGTTTTGGCATGATATTTTTTCTTTTCTGGGTAACAAATATATCTTGGTTGGAGATTGTAATTCCAATCATATTAGTTGGGGTAGTTCCTTTTCAAATGCTAATGGTAGAGTTCTTTTTGAGTACATTAATGATAACAATTTAGTCATTTTGAACGACTGTAAACCAACTCTCCTATCTTTTCAAAGTAGAAGTGTAATTGATATGGCAATTACATAGTCCTTTTTTCCACACATAAGGATCAAAACTTGCTGGAATATCGTTTGTCTCGTGCAATTGAGTCGGTATACTCTTGGCTTTCAGAAAGAGGTCTTAGTTTGAACCCTGGTAAGTGTAGAGATATGATTTTTGCCAAGAGAATTCCCCTATTTAATAGCATTTCCCTTCAGGGTGCTCCTATTCCTAGTGTCAATACCAATAAGTTCCTGGGAATAATTTTGGATTCAAAATTACTGTGGAATGCACAGGTCCTAGACATGAGTTCAAAATGCACAAAATATTTAAATATCCTAAAGAGTCTAACTGGTGTCAGATGGGGAGGAGACCCCAAAACCCTTTTGTACATTTATAGAGCATTAATTAGGAGCAGAATTGACTACGGCTTAATATTAATAAACTATTTTACACTCAAAAACGAGTCAAGGTTCAATAAAATTCAATTCCAAGCTCTTCGTGTCTGCCTAGGAGCAATGAGATCATCTCCTACAAACGCCCTACAGATTGAGGCATGTGAACCCTTTGCGTTTCCGAAAACATTTTTTAACTGATAAATTTCTATTAAAAAACTTTTCTATTTCAAATAATCCAGTTATTTATCACATTGAAATTCTAAGGACGAGCATAAATGCTCGTGGTGCCTCTGCTGAAAAAAATGATCTGGTGTTGGCTATGAATAATCTAGCAGACGTTCGCTGCCGCATTTCTGTGAAAAATAAACTCCCTATCTATTCTTCGGATTATTTTAAAGGTAAGATCAAAATTCCCCATTGCCTTGATTTGGGAATACCCAGGGACCCACGTCTGAAAACGTTTAATAATTCCATCTTTAAGGAGGTAACTAAAAAAAAAATGGCCGGACTTTACCCATATTTTCACTGATGGATCAGTGGTTCCCTCAGTGTCTACATCTTATGGGGTTTACAGTGAAAATCTCCAAATTAATTTCTCATGCAATATAGATAAAGCAGCTTCAATTTTCACCGCTGAATTATGGGCCATTTTTAAGGCAGCTTGTATTTGTTTGGAGAGAAAAATCCAAAAATTCGTCATCTTCTCCGATTCAATGAGTGGCATCCAGTCTATTGTCTCCCATTCCAACAAAACTACTACCCTGAATAACCTTATTATAAGCATTAGGGAAATATTTCACGATTTGGCCATGGAAAATTGTGTAGGGATTCTTTGCTGGATTCCTGGACATATGGAAATCTCTGGAAATGAGAAGGCAGATTTATTAGCAAAAAAAGGTGCAGATATGCCAATGAGCAGAGTCAAAATTCCGTGGATGGACTTTGTTAAATTGAGTAGAGATAATTTATACTCAAAATGGAAAGATTATTGGAACAGCTCTAAGATTACCAGAGGCAAACGTTATGCAAGTTCGGGAAGGGATTGGCGGATTCCGTGGTTTTACTTACCCGAGTTTGTGGGAAGAAAATTTGTAACAACATTAATTAGAATTAGGCTGGGGCATTGCCTAACCCCGGAACATATGAACCGTATTGGTGTAAAAGAAGATCCCTTGTGTGTGTGCGGAGAATTCGGCAGTATCAACCATATTTTATTAAAATAACCAACATAATTGTAATAATTTGTATAACAAATTGTTAGCCCTGGGGCATCATCCACCTTTAGCAAGTATCCCATTGCTTGCTTCATTTCATTTAGATACGTATAGGCTAATTTTTTCTTTCTTAAAAGAATCTAATTTAAATTTATGATGTGCTCTAGATTCCTACATTTTTCCGTTCTACCATCCTTACCTATCAAGTTTATTCCTCTCAAATCATTTCCATCACAATACCTGGAAGTCTACATTGCCTCTGGAAGAAACTGTTTCGAAGAGGGTCATTTTGGGGTGTAGAGATCCTGGGATAAAACATCCAGGACCTTCGGTCATCTATGGACCTTAGTTCCCAACTACAAGCATATGGTCACATGGACTAGATTCCAAGCACCAAGGTTGTCAATACCGAACTTAGAAAGAAGAAGAAGAAGAAGATCTAACGATAATTTCCCACTGTTTCGAAAGAAGAAGAAGACAGTGCAAACGTCGCCGTAATGTCCGCAAAATAAATAATTTTTTGAATTAAAACCTTGTTTCGGTATTAAATCGAGTTAATTTATAACACCGACGATGGGAGTACCAGCATTCTTCAGATGGCTGAGCCGCAAATATCCTTCTGTTATTGTGCATTGCGTCGAACAAAAAGTAAGGTTATGTTTGTTGTGTTTTACTTGATTTACTAAATAATTGAAAGAGTTGATGAATCAAGGTGTTAACTAACATTTCCGTGCTTGGCACGAAAATGTGGTAACCTTTAATATTTAGTTCCTACGTTTTTGCATAACACGAAAATGTTGGTTAACACATTTATCCATCAACCCACAGACCTACTGTAGGTCTGTGCATCAACCCCTTCAATGTTTAAAAATAACAAAATTTACCTACCCTAATTTAAAATTATTATGTGAAATGTCATAAACACAATTTAAAATATTAAAAGAATACATACACTACTAGAGTTTTAAACCATATTTGGGATGCCGAAAAACATTCTAGAATGCTAAAATCATCAAATTTACTGCTTTTTCTTTGTAATTACTAATTGTAAATTGGGAATTTGTTTTAAATTTAAGGATTTGTTTAATTTATGTGCCTTTAAATAACTAAAACTTTATTTAGGCAATTGATGTAAATGGCGTTAAGATACCAACAGATTCGTCAGAGCCCAATCCCAATGGGGTTGAGTTTGACAATCTATATTTGGATATGAACGGAATTATTCATCCCTGTACTCATCCGGAGGACAGACCAGCCCCCAAAAACGAAGATGAGATGATGATTGCTATTTTCGAATGCATTGACAGGTTATTTAACATTGTAAGACCCAGGAAAGTTCTCTACATGGCTATCGATGGTGTTGCACCCAGAGCAAAGATGAACCAACAAAGATCGAGACGTTTTAGAGCCTCCAAAGAAGTTGTTGAGAAAATAAATGAAATTAAACGCATTAGGGCAGAATTATTGCTTAAAGGTTGCGAGTTGCCACCTGAAAAACCAAAGGAGGAACATTTTGATTCTAACTGTATCACACCTGGAACACCATTTATGGCTAGACTGTCGGACTGTCTTCATTATTATATCCACGAGAGATTAAATAATAACCCTGGGTGGAAGGGCATTAAAGTAATTCTTTCTGATGCCAATGTTCCTGGAGAAGGGGAGCACAAAATTATGGATTACATTCGTAAACAAAGAGGTAATGTCAAATTTGTATCCTATACTTAAATTTAAAAAAAAGGAAAATAACATTGTATTATTATTGTTATTATTATAAAAATTACAATTTTCGTTAAAACTAAACAATATAGAAATATGAAATGGTTTTGACTGAAAACTTTAGAGTTACTCTGTATAATAATTAAATTAATTATTTTAATGCATATTTGGTTGCATATTAAATTTCCCTAAAGAGTGTAAGTAATTTGAATAAATTTCAAATAATTATTATGGAGTGAATTTGGCAATAATTAAACTGTTATTGTTATTATTTTATTTTTCATGTAAACCTTTATTCAAAATAGGACTTTGCTAATTTCTAATTAAATACCAAAGGAATGATACTTTACACAATTTTGTTAGCTTATAGCCCATTTAAGTTTTGTTTGAAGATTTTTTCTTGTTATAGTATAATTTTTTGGTTTAATTTTAGTTTTGTTATTTTAGCACAACCCGATCATGATCCTAACACCCAACATGTACTGTGTGGTGCAGATGCTGATTTAATTATGTTGGGGTTGGCAACACATGAGCCTCACTTCACTATTATCAGGGAGGAGTTTAAGCCTAATAAGCCCAGGCCTTGCGAAATTTGTGGACAAGTTGGTAAGAATTTTAACAAGTAAAAATTATAATTATTTTTGTAACCATCTTTTTTACTGTAATTAACTATTTTTAACACTTTTGTATAAAAGTCCACACTGTAGACTACAATTTTCTGGTTGGTTATTATTTCCTATGATTTAAGATAATTATGGAGGAAACATGCAAAAGCTGAAAATGTAAACATTAATTTATCGGTTATGCTTGCTCCACAATTGTTATATAAAAATGTAGTAATAAACAATAAACCTAACATTTTTTTAATTTCTATGATATTTTCTATTATTTTAATTATTTTGTTTTTTGGTTACCATTTCCCACAATTTCCTATAGGTCTTTTTTACGTTTTTTGTTATTTTACATTTCTATAAAATAAACTCATTACTTTATGCTTTTTTTAATTCATCTACTTATAGGTCAAACAAAATAAAAAAAAAAATAGTTAAAAGAAAAAAAAATCATTTTTAATGATACTAAAAAACTTGTGGTTTGTAATTATCAACCAAATTTTGTTAGACTCTTTAAGCGAAACTTTTGCTGCTGAGAGTAACATTAGAATTACCTTTAGTTTGTCTTAACAATAGTCACAATGGATATGAAATTGTAAAATATTTATTTTTTAAAAGTAGATGAGGCTAAAAAGTATAAAGACCTGTATATTATATATTATTTTAAATTTCTGTTAACTATGTCTTTTGATTTTTTGCAGGGTTGATTATTTTAAATAAAAAATAAATTAAAAGAAACAAAGTTTTCAAAATACAAAAATAAGGTTTTGCTTTAAATTAAAAGAAAACTAATTTTCTTATGACTCAAAATTTAATCTTCATAAAAATCTATGCTTAAAATAATAATAAACATGTTCTAGTAGCTACTATAACTGTCTGTAGGGATAGAACGATACCGATATTGATATCGGTATATCGGCATATCGGCAATTGTTTCCGATTATCGGTATCGTATCGTATCGTATCGGCAAGATAATTGCCGATATATCGGCAAAAAAAATTGCGCTTTTCACTCTTCAGTACATAAATGAAATACTTTATTAAACAAAATAAAAATTTTTATTCTAAAGGTAACATTTTTACTAAAAAAGTAAAACAAATCCTAACACCACTTACAACAAATATACCTAATGTAGCAGGTACTAAATACAGTATATACTTAATACTTTAAATTTAATATTTTTATTTATTATTTATTTTATCTCCTCTAATTAACAGTCAAGTTTAAAACGCCGTGTTTTAAAGCACTACAGTATAAGGGGCTTCCCAAAAATCCGAAATGTCACTCACTACCAATCACAAACGTTTCCTCGCAACGGAATTAAAACGGGACTTCCCTGATTTTTGCTTCGGTCGTGTATAAATAGATGGCATTATGTTTGCCGATACGATATATCGGTATATCGGTATATCGGCACGTAAATATCGGTCGGCCGATATATCGTATCGGCAAAAAAAGTGATAGGTATCGTTCTATCCCTATCTGTCTGTAATATTAAATGTTTTTCTGTTAGAAATTAGAAATTTGTTAAAGTTTACAACTAGGGTGGTTTTAAAGTGTCGAAAAAAAAACGGAAAAATTGTGGAAAAACCCTATTTTATCCCAGGCCTTGAAAAAATGTATGCTAATACAGCACCGAATTTGTTTTTTCTTGCCCTAGAATATCCTTACTAAATTTAAAGAAAAGGAATAATTATTATAATCATAATATTGAATGATTATAATGAGCATCTGAAATTCACTTTTTGTACAGATACACTGCGCGTCAAAATTAACCCATAACAAGTAAAAAAAATCCAACTCTAAAACGCCTTTACCAATCTTTATAAAATTTTGGATAAAAATACTTTAACTTATATTTCAGTTTACGTGTTCAAGGGTTTTTCGAGAAAAAATTTTTAAGGTCCTTTTATTTAATAATTAAAAAACGCTCGAAAAAAAACTTTTATAGGGAATTTTTTTTGTAAATAAAAAATATGCTGTTAAAGACCGTATTTTTGTTAGTATACCCTAAAAATGTTGTACAATTCAAACGAACAGTAACGAAAATACAGCGCTTCAAAGTCGTCAAAAATGATGTTAATGTTCGTTTAATTTAAACAAAATTTTCAGGCTATACTAACAAAAATACGGTCTTTAACAGCATATTTTTATTTACTTAAAAAAATTCCCTAAAAGTTAGTTTTCGAACGTTTTTTTAATATTAAATAAAAGGGCCTTAAAAATTTTTTCTCGAAAAACCCTCAAACACGTAAACTGATACATACCTATATAAGTTGAAGTATTTGTAAATTTGTAAATTTTTAGAAAAATTGACTTTTGCATTTTTTTTTTATATTACACTTTGAATAAAATTAAAAAAATTCAATAGACAATTTTTCTAAAACTCCCAATTTTTCCGTTTTTTTTTTTAAATATTTTAAAACCCTATTTACAACAATTTACTATTTTAATGAATGTTACGGCTAATGTGCAAACTTGGATAGTTTATAAACTCAATGGGGCGGGGTGGGTAGGTTTGTTTTGTTGAGTTTTTTAACAAGGAAGCGTTAAAATTTTGCCTATGATTCATTTTAAAAACGTTAAAATGCACAAAACAAATCCGGTTAAGCCGGCAAAACGAAAAACAATGCAGTAACCTCACTTTTTTAATAAATTAGCCAGAGAATTGGTTGTTTAGTTTACAAACTAGCTAAAGCTTGGCTATTTTGTGATACTAGAAATTTTGGTTTTCATATTAGCCAAACTATCCAGCTATTTTAGTTTCCCTAATAATTTCAAGTAAATTAGCCAAGATCCTTGGTTATTTTGTAAACTAGCCGCTAATTTAGTTGAAAATATGTTTTCAATTAAAATAGCTGACAGTTTGGCTAGTTTATAAACTATCCAGCTAGTTTATAAACTATCCAAGTTTGCACATTGGCATTGCATTGCACTCGTATATAAATTTGCGTGTTTTTTGTTGCTTTTAAAAATTCCGACGAAAAACGTTTTAGGCCACGAAATGAAGGACTGCATAGGCAACGCGAAAGCCGAAGAGGCAGGTCCGGACCAGGCGTTCAGCGCGGAAACCGACTTCATATTCGTGAGGCTGTGCGTGCTGAAGGAGTACCTGGAAAAGGAGCTGCAAATGCCGAACTTGCCGTTCAAGTACGAGTTCGAGCGAGTGCTGGACGACTGGGTGTTCATGTGCTTCTTCGTGGGCAACGATTTTTTGCCGCACTTGCCTAGCCTGGAGATCCGCGAGGGCGCAATCGACAGACTGGTGCGACTTTACAAGGATTGCGTCTACAAAACTGGGGTAGGAGTTATATTATACAGGGCTCCCACACCTCCTAAAACTCATAAAATTCCTAAAATTTTGCTTAAAACTTGAAAACTCCTAAAATTCTCCTAAAATTGCATTCAATCTCCTAAAACTCCTAAAAATTAAATATAAGTAAGCCAACCTGACTGCGTTTAATTAAGGTAGTGCTAAAAATTTCTTTAATTTAAAAATATATATTTTTAGGTTCTATTGTATTAAATTCTTTTTAAAATGATATAATATCACAACCAAAATTTTTCTTAAAAAACAACAAAAAAACTTCTACAAAAATGTCATTTTTAGCCATATTTCGTTTGTTTTAGACAAAAATATACCGTGATATATATCAAACAAAGGGATTTTTAATTTTCTTGTAAATGACAGCTAAAATAGTAAACAATCTAAAGAATATTTTGCTGTATTTTGCAAACTTCATATTTTGTTACGAGATTTTTAAGTATTAATATCCACATTACAAATCGGTGAGAATAAGAACAGTACAAGTCCAAAAATTTAATTTTGACAATTTATTTTTTAAACTCAATTTTAAAGTTTAAAATACATTTTTGAGAGAAGATATAAATTATTTTATAGAATATGAATATTATATTTCATAAAATAGTTAAAATATTCTAACAAAAATGCATTTAAAACTGATTTTTTTAAATATTTTATCAAAAATTTTACTTTTGGACTTGTACTATTCTTAATCTTACCGATTTAATTACTGTTAGTTATTAAACGGTTAGCATATTATTTCTTAAAATATAAATATAACATCATTTGATTTTGGGATAGTTTTTTTAACTAAATCTATCGACGCATTTTTTTTAAATAAAATTAAAAGTTTGGTGAAATTTATACTTGTATATATATGTTCCTCAGATATATACAAAAGTAGTAATTTTACCTTACTTTTAATTTTATTTAAAAAAAAACTCGAGCGATTTGGCTAAAAAACTAGTCAATATAACTTATTTTTACAAAAGAAGTACCTATTAATTTTTTCTTATTTTTTAAGTAGTAAAGAGTTGTTTTTATTTAATTAAAGAAATTCATTTCCTTACTTTATTTCTCCTAAAATTTTACAAAAAACCTAAATTCCTAAATAAAATTTGTAATTTAGCTGTGGGAGCCCTGATTATATTATTTTTCATTTGTTTGCTTTATTTTTCCTTTTACAGGGTTATTTGACAGACAGTGGCGATGTAAACCTGGAAAGGGTACAAATGATCATGTTGGAGTTGGGGAAAGCTGAAGATGAAATTTTCAAGACGAGACAAGCCAAGGAATTGCAATTTAAAGCCAGAGACAAGGCGAAGAAAAGGAGAGAGGGTTACAATCAGTTTAGACCCAACTGGAATTTGGTTAAAGATACACAATTTGCTCCCCAAGTAAGCTAAATTTCAAAATACATTTTTACGATTTTTTACTATAATAACTTTATTTATCATTTTAGGCAGTTGGGCAGCAAAAAGCTCTTACAAATGTGAGACAAGAAGCATATAATATGAGAAGGGCTGGTATGCATTCTCAGGTCGAAACCAAATTACAAACAACCAATAGTAAGTCTGCTTTGGAATCAATGTTTAGGTAAGACAAAAATGTTTTTGTTAATTTTTTTTGGTGTTCTTCGATTCTGAATAATTGATTATTGAAATCTTGTTTTGACAAAAAATTTTTAAGGCAATTTATTAATTCTGAAAATAATTGTTTTAAAATAAAAATAAAAACAGATTTGCAAGGTAAACATTTTTTCTACCCTATCAAAAACGTTTTTCTGAATATTATTCAAACTGAAAAAAAGTCATGAATTTAAAAAAAATTGTTCTTTATTTTTCATTTTGTTATGACTTTTTCCAAAATTTACTTATCATGACGTTTTTTTTGAAATTTCAGTGTTTAAATAAATGTTCAGAAAAAATTATTCAGACCGATCTTCCACGATTTTTTTTTAAATTTTAGTATAAAAACGAAAAATTCTCGATTGGTATTTTTAATTTTTTATTAGAAACTGACATGTTCTCTGCAAAATCTACAAAAGTTTTAGAGTGGCGTTTTTTCTTTTTCTATATTTTTTTTCAATTGAATTTTTTTATGCTTATTTCTCATAATACCAAACTGAAGATTTTTGAAGAAAGTTTGAAAAAAATAAAAATATATGTAATTGAGTGGCAATCATCAGACTTTTTTTTAATTTTTGTGTTAAAATATAGACAAAATTTTTCAGACCAATGATCTTCCACGTTTTTTTTAAATTTTTGTAAAAAAAAATTTGATTGGTATTTTTAATTTTTTTATTAGAAACTGTCATTTTCTGCAAAATCTACAAAAGTTTCAGAGTTGCGTTTTTTCGTTTTCTATTTTTTTTCAATAGAAACTTTTTTATAATATCAAACTGGGGATTTTTAAGGATGTGGTTAGCAAACTTTTTTTTGGTTGGGTAAAAAGAATTGAAAAAATTCTGAAATTATCAAAAAAACTATTTTTCTCTAGAGAAAAGTGCCTTTTATGTGGCTGATATAACCAAAAGTTATCAAGAAAGTTGTTTAGAATCATCATGATGATTCATCATATAAGTACCAAATTTAAACACTCTCTGCCAACTATGATTATTCATTTATTTTGTAGTACCTTTAAGTACATTTTAAAAAAATAGCAAACTTTTTTTTGGTTGGGTAAAAAGAATTGAAAAAATTCTGAAATTTTCAAAAAAACTATTTTTCTCTAGAGAAAAGTGCCTTTTATGTTGCTGATATATTTTGTAATACCTTTTTGGGAACAGATACGACAAAAAAATATTTAGAAAAGTTGCTTGAAATAAAAATCTAGGTCCGTATCGTTTTACCTATCTGCGGACAATAAATTTTGTTAATGGTTTTAGAACAAGTAAGCTACAGTCTGTAGCGTTCTCAAAAATTGTTTGAGAAAAATAGAAAGTTTTAATGCAATTTAAAAAAATGCAGATTTGGTTTTTAACCAGACATTTTGTTTAATCTTTTTTTTAACTTCCTCTACCTCTCCCAGTATGGGAATTTAAGCGTTAAAAAAACAGGAAAAATTTAAAAAACTTTTTTGTTTGTTTCTGGATTATTATAAAATTAGAAAAAACAGAAAAACTGAAAAGTTAGTTTGAATTAAAAACAATATTTAAATTGATTTTTTCGGGGATTTACCGAAATGCGAATGGAATTTGTTTGGTGATTTACATTGTCGCGTCAATTTGTCAGTGTCGTAAACTACATTTTCCCTTCAAAATAATCCGTAAATAATATTTAAAATACTAAAATTTAATACTATAAAGCGTGCCCAACAATTAAATTGAAACGGTTATTTTTCGTAAAAAAACTAAATATTGGAAATTGAAAACCGTACACCGATATCGAGAAAAAGTGAATTTCCGACGCTGATTATAATCATTATATTAAGATTATAATAATTATTCCTTTTATTTTAATTCAGTAAGAATATTTTACCGGGCTGCAAAAAAAACGTGCTGTATAAACATAACTTTATTTGACACTTCGATTTATAAAATTGTAATTTAACTTTATAAATCATTCAATATTTTGTAGTTGGATATTTTTAATGGACTTCTTTTTGCAAAACAAGACCCAACCCACAGTATATTTAACGTTTTCGTTTATTTTCTTAAATCTTATAATAAGGGATCTTTTTTTAAAATAAAATAATGTTGACTTGTTCATTGGTACTTTTTTCAAATGTGTATATTTTCAAAATACAATTTTTCCAAGGCCTGGGAAAAAAACTGAAAAAACAGGTCCCTATGTGTAATGGAGAGTTTTAAAAATAATATTTCTTCTTTAATATTTTTTCTTTCAGGCCAGCAGGTTCTTCATCTGACGACGACCCTCGCGGTCAGAAAAGAAAAGCCGAAGACGTGGAAAAAGAAGAGGAAGACGATCAAGCTCACGACGAAGTCCGACTTTGGGAGGACGGAGCCAAAGATCGTTACTACGAATCCAAATTTGACGTCGGTGCTGATAACTTAGAATTTAGGTAGAAAAAATGTTTTCTTACTTTATTTGTTTGAAACTTTGTTTTTTATTAGGTATACTGTTGCCTTGCACTACGTAAGAGGCCTTTGCTGGGTGCTCAGGTATTACTACCAAGGTTGTGCCTCATGGAAATGGTACTTCCCATACCATTACGCTCCTTTCGCCTCCGATTTTGTTAATATTTCTGGGCTGAGTACCGAGTTTGAATTAGACACCAAACCAGTAAGTAAAAACATGAAAACAATGTTACCTTTTATCAAATCGGTTTTTTTTTGTAGTTCCGTCCTCTTGAACAGCTTATGGGTGTGTTCCCGGCAGGAAGTAGCAAACATGTCCCACAACCATGGGCTAAGCTTATGTCAGATCCTGTAAGTAGCTTTAATCTATTTACTTTTTAACTTTTAGTTTTGTTAATAAAATAATATTTCCATAAAAGAAATTCCAAATGATTTAATGTTTTTTATTAGGTACTGGTTTTTAATTACAATAATTTACAAATTAATAAAAAAGACATGTGTTTTTTGGCCTGCTAAACTCGAAAGCCCTTGTGGAAATGTTTCTTTGAAAAATTTTTAATAAGAGTTTTGAAAGTCTTACTTTCTCTTAAAAACTCCAAATAAGACTTATTTAGTCGGAAAATCTTGGAATAAGTCTTAGTAAGTAAGACTAATAGCAAGATTTGGGAGTAGGTACCTATAGCGATAAATAAAAATATCCGGAATTATTCAGAGATGTTGTATTATTTGTTTATTGTGAAATAAAACATGAAGAAAAGTATTTATTAATTTTTTTTTTGCGTTTTCTATTCCAAACAAATATTTTTTTTTATTTCCAACACTAAAAAATTGGTTCTTGACCTTGACCTCTAGAAAGTATTCACCAAATTTGAGCTCTTAATATATTAATAGGAAGATCCTCCTCAACACAGTTTTTTATTATTTGGTTTAGTCCCTTATAAAAAAACCCTATTTCATTATTAATCAATCGTTTAATCAAATCCTTATACATATTTTAGAAAATTTAATGCTCTACAAAAAAAGACTGATGCGTTTAACCATTTAAAAGATATTCAAGATCAAAGTTTGAGGAATTTATTAATAAAAAATGGTTTTTAATAATTTTGTAACTCATTGAAAAAAATTACGCTCTACAATACAATTTTTTTTAAATAAATTCCTCAAATTTTGTTCTTGAATATCTTTTAAATGGTTAAACGCATCAGACCTTTTTTGTAGAGCGTTAAATTTTCTACTAAAATATGTCATACTCATTTGACAAACATTATTTTTTAATAAATTCTCGAACTTTGATCTTGAATATCTTTTAAATGGTTAGAGTAATTGCTTAAACGCATCAGTCCTTTATTGTAGAGAATTTATAAAGATTTGATTAAACGATTTATAAATAATGAAATATGGTCTTTTTTTATAAGGGACTGAAGAAAAAATGGAAAATTTTGTGAGCACTTTCTAGAGGCTGAAAAAAAATCACCCTAGAACGTACCCAGTTTGGCGTTTGCGGGTATTTTACTCGAAAATCGGGTATTTTTTGCGGGTAAAATTTTGAAGCAGGTAAAATCGGGTATTTTGCAAATTTCGATCAAAATACTAAGAAATTTTCAGTAAATAATATTGTATATTTACTAAATATGCATAATTATTTTATTCTATTCTGTTACATTTTTACTAACTTATATAAAAAATTTAAATTAATTTAAGTTATTTTTTTTAACGCCAGTAAATTTTTTTACTCTTGCGGGTAAGATCGGGTATTTTGTAATTTTTGGTCTGGAACTTTCATGACCATATTTGTTTTATGAGTCGAACACATCATCATGATGTGTTCGACTCATAAAACAAATATGGTCATGCCTATGCGTTGCGAAGTATTGTCATAGTTATTACACCTTATGTAATCAACAAGATTTATTGTGATAAATTAAAATTAACTTGCTTATTTATATTGTAAACATTGCTTCTGTGTTGTTATAAGCAAAGTTTATAAATACTTTTCTTGTGTTTTCTTTTACAATAACCAAAAACAACATCTCTAAATAATTTCGGATATTTATTTTAATCGCTTTAGGTACCTACCATTTCCATGCTAAGTCTTCCAGAAGGCTTCCAAATCTTGCTATTAGTCTGACTTACTAAGACTTAATCAGTTTTTCAGAAAAAGTAAGACTTTCAAAACTCGTATTTTTAGTCATTAAAACTTTTTCAGAGAACAATTTTTACAATGGAGCTTTACAATTTGGATCATATCTCTAGTTGATAAAATCATTGAAATATTACCATATTTAAATTATCTACATAGAGTTTGCACTTTTACGAAGACAATAAGTTATTTACGAAAAAAATTATGTATAAATGACAAACTTATAAAAGTAGCAAAAATGCAACTCTGTTTATTTTTGGACTTTTACCTTATTATTAGTGTATATTGTAGTAACATGCAATTAATTCACAATACATTTTGAATAAATTGTTTTTGTTGTTTATTTATTAATTAATGAAGTTTTTTTGGTTCAAATTTTCAATTTCACAGCTTATAGAATAGATTTAGTTTATTTTTATTTTAGTATTTTTATTATAGCAGTTTGTTAGAAATATTTTTTGAGCGTCTTCTGTTTTTTTTGGTGTGATTTTATTATAAGGAACCAAATATAATTTTCCACCATTCGTTCATCTAAAAATTTCTTAAAGCGCGGCTTCATGGATTCCATTTCTTGGTGAAATCTTCCACCATGTCACTCTAGTTTCTGTGATTTATATATTTACGCATGTGACCAAAAATGTGATGTAAAAGAATATAACAAATATCAATTTTTAGCCAATCTTCGACGATGATTAAAGATGGAAAGATAAGTGTTAATAAGTTGAACACTAGACGGAAACATCTTAATTTTTCATACACAATACAATTGACATATTGACCACAAAATCAAAATTTGAACCAAACGTACTTTTCTATAGATTTTTTTTGTAAATACCTTGTCTTCTTCGTAGAAAATTCTAAAATGGTCATATTTCGATGATTTTTATGCGTTTTTGTCGAAAAGGTACATTTTGGCTGTGAAGCAGTGTTATCCCAAGTAGCATTATATTGACAAAAACTGATATCACCACTTTAAATGAGTGGAAATAACGTTTAAATAACTAAATCTACCACGATACAGTTAAAATATCTCCATATTATGAATATCCTTTATAGTTTTATAACTTTTTGGTGTATTAGTCTGGTATCTGAAATGTTATGACCACTTTTGACACCACCTTAAAGTTGTCTAAACTTTAGAGTGGATTATGAATAATAACTGTAACCAAATCACATCACTTTAGTATTAATTTGAAGTAGTAATAGCAGTAAAGTGGGTATATCAGTTTTGGTAACGTTTTCGGAACTTTTCCCAAACCTTGAATGTGGCAAAACTTCATTATATAATTGCGGTGGTGATTGCCACGTTCTTGCTACATGCTTAAGTGATTTCCACATTTCGTATAAAATTAACACTTTAAAGTTCCCTTCTTTAAAAGCAGACATGTTTACAAATAATCGCCATTGTAGGGAAATAAATGTGTAGTTTTAAACAAATAATTCTGGTTATTACCGCACCAAATTTATCACGTTAATACCTATTTATTGGTTTCAGGTGACCAGAAATAATAAAAAAAATATTTTAGGCCTCTAGATAAATAATTTTCATATCCGCTAAGTTTATAGATTTTTTTTATTCTTTTTTATTACCACATATTTCAACAGGGCATGTTATATTTCAAGCTATGATACCCATGTTTAACAGTAAAATTTAATTCGTGTTAATTTTATGTCTTAGGATTATTTTAATTTTAGTTATTATTTGCAAGTTGTATTCTTACAATATAATTTAGTGTTAGTTTAACATCCAGTCAGAGAAAGCAAAGATAATAAGATAAATAATATGCTGGAAAGAGATTTATAAAGTTATGATTAAGTTTTGGCCACTATACCTCCACATTACTGACACTAAAAAAGTGTTCCCCATTATAGTTACTTCCACGTAATAGAACCGTTTCTACCACGTGGAGATTTTGGCAATATACTTTACAGTTCCAAGTATAAGTGGCCAACACGTTTTAACCACTATAAATGCTACTTCAGATTAGTTGTATTTGTTTTATGTTTCTAAATAATGCTTACCACTGTTTTTTATCCTGATAGTTTTTTTTGTTTTATGTGGACTTAAGCACATTGGATTAAACTAAGAAATTGTAATGACTTATAATAATTAACGGGATTTTGTTATTTTACAGGATTCCACAATAATAGACTTTTACCCGGAAGACTTTAAAATCGACTTGAACGGCAAGAAATTCGCGTGGCAGGGCGTAGCATTGCTTCCTTTTGTGGACGAAATAAGGCTGTTCAAAGCGTTGGAGCCTTATTACAAGGTACTGTCGGAACTCGAAATAAAAAGGAACATCCGCGGCGACGACAGACTTTACTTGTCCACCAAAAGCCCGGGGTACGGCACCCTTAAGGGTTTATACCAGCAGGACGTGGAATTTGACGCTGAATGCGCGATAAGCATAGAAGGGATGAGAGGGACTGTCTTGTTGGCTGAAGAATGTGTCGACGATGGAGGGTAAATATTGATTTTTTAAATTTTTTTACTGAATCATTTCGGGAGAAGATATAGAATTGATTTCTGGAATAGTAAATGTTATTACTTCTATACAAGTTGATAATAACCAAGTCAAATTGAAAGTTCGTTTTCGAATTTATTTCAGACCGGGAAATTTAATTGCACATATAATTGTGATTTGAAAATGTAAAATTTGTCTTAAAGAAGGTTAAAATTAAAAAATTAAATTAAGAGACGCTACAAATTTAGTCTTCGTCATTGATTTTCAAAATTGTATGTTTTTAAATATATTTTTAAAAATATTTATTTTAAGTACAAATTTAATGGCACATGGGTCATTATAATTTTTACTGTAAAAATAAATATTTCACATTTTCATATCCATTGTGAATATTATTTAGGCAAACTAAAGGTCATTCTAATGTCAGCAGTAAAGTTTCGCTTAAAGAGTCTCTTATTTTTAAGTTTTAATGTCAAAAGAGACATGTGACTAAGGAACAAAGGGACTAAGGAATTTTCACAATAAATGCACATAAAACATTGCATTAATTAAAAAGAAAGAAATTGGTTTACTTTACATAAAAAAGAAAATTAAATACTGCAAATACTTTCTGAATAAATGCCGTGACGAAAGACGACCTTTAAAAACACACAATGCTTGTTTGTAACGCGCAAAATAACAATAGCGATACCATTTCCTGCAGCTGCGCCATCTCGTGCCACAGTTATACATGGTTTACAGAGTTTGTAATGTCCAGTGTATTTTATAACAAAGCTGTTCTTATATAAGCAGTTTGTGACGAAGTAGACATTACATATGAGGACCCTAGAAGCCAAGGGATACAAGTGACATTAAAAAAAATATGTACAGAAAAAGATAGGGAATTCTAAGCTTAGACATCTTGAAAAACAAAGTTATAAAACAACAAACAATTTTGACTCCAAATTACAAGTCTTTTTTTTTTACTTTAAACATGATTATCTCAAAACTATATACACCTTGGTTTCTAGGGTCCTCATATAAGGACAAGGTTTGTTCACGTTTACAAAATTATTCACAGACATTTTATCACATTCTTTATTAGTACTGAGGAGCTATTTATTTCAGTTTAGTTTTAGAATTCTGTTTCATCTATTACAAAACTTATGAAATACATCCAAGTTTTTACTATTGCAATATGATTCTACCTTAATTAAGACATTAAAAATATTTTTATATTTAATTAAATAAATTTCAGTTTTTTTTATATTTTGCGTTCTTAATTTTTTTTTATAAGAAATGTTAGGGACAACTGAAAAATGGCAGAAACTACAACTTACATTAATTAAAAAAAAAAATTATTTTTCCCGTCCTAAAAAAAACCCTAATATTAAATTTTGTACAAAAACGTTTGTTTTTTCCAAATTTATTATTAGCTTTTGTTTTAAAGTAAATTTAGTAATATCGTATTGTTTGGGTCCCAGGAACATATGGTATTAGTTTGTACAGAAATTTCAGGGACACCTTGTATATAAATAACCGAAATCAATTTTTGTTATAACTCAAAATTTCGGCGGAAATATTTGCTTGTAATTTTTCTATACACCCCCCATATAGCATGTAAACACGTGAAACATACTTTTTTTTACAAAATTCCGAATAATGATAAATTTATATCATTTTTTGGTTTTGAGAGGTTTTCAGTGTTTTTCAAATTATTTAATAGCCGATGATTTGAAAAAAAAATTTAATGCCATTTTAGTAGACTTCTTAACTTTTCTCTAATTTAACCAACCTTGTAGCTCTTCAAATAAAAAATATACTTATACATAGAAGGATACTGTGTTCACCATGTTTAGCTTCAAGAAATAATATGTAAATATGTTTATTTCTTGCTGTGAAATTTATATAAAGATTTGCATTAGTTTGTTTATATTCTTTAATATTTTTTATGGTTAATAAATAAATTTAATGTGTACTTTACTAAAAACCTAGAGCATAAAGAAATATAGAAAAATACCATATGGTACAAAATATTCTCATGCTACTAGGTTTTTAGAAAATTACATTATAACGTTTTTTTGTCCTAAAAAGTTACATAAAAGAGTGCAGTATTAACGACGTTATGCTCTTTTTTGTATTTTTAGACATTTGCAGTCGCCAGTCAAAGGTTTGGACCCCCTTACAGACAACGTGGTTTGCTGCGTTAGATATAGGGACCCCAAATATCCTGTGGGGTTCATATATCCCGCCAAAAGGCTTAAGGGTGCCAAGGATCCTCCCAGGGTCCTTAAACCTTCGGATTTGGAACCACAACAGAACAGGAACTGGAGATCTCAAGTCGGAATGGCACCGGCAACACAAAGGTAAAGTTTTTTTTATGTAAAAGAACTTTCCAAATAAAAAAGATGATTTTATAACATATCGCATTAGACATTTTTAATTATAATAATAATAATAATGTTTTAATCTTTTTAGGGCTTATATGGGCCAGGCTGGTCATAGAATGCTAAACCACCATACTCCTAATAATCAATCTGGAGGTGGCCAATATTCAAATGTGGCCCCACCTTCATACATGGACAGGAATAATCATTACCAGCAAAGAGGTAAGTGTACTTTTTTAAACATTAAATAAAAAATATTATTTTCTTTAAATTATTATGCTGTTTTTAAAGTTTTTTGTTTTTAAGAAGTTTATTTATAATAATAATATATAATTTCATACTATACTTTTTTCTACGACTAACAAAAACATGAAATAATTTTCAAAAATAAATATTTAAAATTTGACATCTGTCGGACGGTTCTAACCTCACTTTCTAAAGATCTTTGGACGATTGTCCCATACAATCGTCAAGTTTTTGGTGTTGGGGTCGGGGACAGGTAGGGCTGGGACAGTTGAAATTTTCAAATGAAAATTTCAACTTTGGAAGTTTCAAACTTGAAATATTTCATTTAGTTGGAAAAGTGAAATCTTTAAAAATTTCAATCCAAAAATTTCAACATTGCCTGTGAAAGTTTCAGAAATTTTATTGAAAGTTTCGCAATTTACTGAAAATTTCGCATAAATTTCACATGCGGCCTCCCCTGGGACCTTTAATAATAATTTACAACAGATTCCGAATCGACCAATAAGAACGAGTTATTAAGCGTCTGGGCGTTTTTGTTTAGTTCGGCTTGGATTTGAATACACTATAAGTAATTATTGTTACTTAAATGCATAAATTTTTTTAAAAGTCATGATTAATTAAAACTTTTACTTTTGCTATTATTGCATCCGAAAACGGATAAAAAATGCCTTTGGCTCATAAAATTTTGATGAAGTTTCTTCAATTTTCGTAAAATTTCAGTAAAATATTTAAAAATAATAAATATATATAAATATAAAACAATGAAAGTGGCACAATCTCATTAGCTTACCAAAAAGTGCTATATCTCTTTTAGTTTTAGTAATTTTAAAAATATTTTAAAAGGAAATCTCAAGAAATTTGTGGTAAACAGGTATTTACTATTTATATTATTGGTGCAGGGGCCCACAGAGGGGTAGGAGGTAAAAAAGGCAATTTGCCATGGTCCCCGAGTGGGCTTATTTCAATATTAATATATTACACTTAAAGTGATTGAAATTTTCAATAAATTTCATAAATTTCATGAAATTTCAGAAATTTAGGAAATTTTAATAAATTTCATAAATGTCATGAAAATTTCAAGTGAAATTTCAAGTACAAGCAAAAAGTGAAATTTTCCCAACCCTAGGGACAGGTAATCACACAAAAAACGAAATTGTCTAGTAAAAATCTGAAAAGATACTTGTGACATTTAAATTCGCTTTTAAGTCATATTCTGTGAATATTTCAAAATAAATCCTTAATTTTCCAAAGTTCGTATTTATTTCTTTTATTTTTTTTATTTTGCGTTTAATGCCGCACCTCCCATCGTTGGCCAACTACTATATTTTTTAAATTATTAAAGTTTAAAAAGGGATGGCTTTACTGAGTATTGAACTCATTATTATTAAATAATATAAAAAAGAAACATTGTACATAGAGCCGCAATGTGGTTATGTGGTTGGCTGTTACAGACGGGGAAAAATAGGTTAATAACCCCTTTAAAAAAATTGATAAATAAAATAAAGCATAGAAAAGAAGAAATCAAGGGGCCTACAGCACCATGGCTTGGGTACAGCGGTTGGACATTTGTAAACATGTCTATAAACATGTTAATAAAATTAAAAACAAAATTAAATTGAATATCTTTTTTGTTGCCCTCTTTGCATCTTTATGTTTATATAATAATAATAAGCACAGTACAATACGCAAATATAATTTATATTTCGATTTTTTTTTTAGTTTTGACAAATAGAAAATAGTAAAAAGATAGTAAAAAGAACTCATGTCACTAGACATTTTCTCGCACTCGTCCATTACAGATTTGTCCTTGACTTCTTATGACATTAGTTCTTTAATACACCTATTATACATATAATTAAATGTCGAATTATGTTTTATTTCATATATGAAATGATATACAAGATTTATAATCATATTAAAATAAATATAAAATATCCAAAATATCGACATATGGATGAAAATTTTAGGATGAGATTTCTTGCATGAAAATAAAAAGAAAAAAAGTCCTATTAACTAGTTTCCGGAAATGCAAATTGTTGCAGTTTTTTATTTAATAAATAAAAAATATCTTATTTTATCTCATCTGAAAAACCCCAACTAAAACAATAACAATAAACTTCTTGATACAAATTTTATTCTACATTTTGAGTTGTGTATTTTGACGTGATCAGAATTACGAAAAATGTGTTGCGATAAAAACAACAAAAATCTTCATAAAATATTTATTGTGGTTGAAAAGTGAAGAAAATTAAAGAAAGACTTTCTTTAATTTTCTGTCAATAATATTATAATAGTAATGTAAATAATTTTGTACTTGGTACAAAATTATTTACATTACTATTATAGTATTATTGACAGCGTTGATAAATTTATTTTTTATATTAATAAAAAAATATGCCATTGTCGTTTTAATAAACATATATATTATTAGTTATTACAGTCAGAAACTTCATTTTAAAAAATTTGACACTGAGTGGCTTTACAAGCTAAACTATAAAGCTTAATTTTCATGTAACCGTTTGTCCGTCATCCGTATGTCAGTTTTTCAATAAAATCGTCCGATAAGAAATGTTCTAATTTTCATGCATACGTTTTTTAATGACGTTTAACGGATTGATTTTGCGACAAATAGAAATTAAGTGTCAGTATATTCACTTACTAAATTTACCTAATGCTTAATTGTCATAGTTACAATTATGTCAACAATTGTAACTAACAGTTAGCTGTCTAATAAATTTAAAGGTAGGTAAATATACCTTATAAAAAGAATATACTAGCCCTAATATACATTAAAATGTATAGTTTTAAAAAAGCAGGTCCTTTTAGTTCTAGTTTAAAAATTTTTTTTGTTTGTCCTTTCTTTTTTCCGTTATTCTTATTAAATAAAAACTTAACAGTAAAAAATTATTCACATAACGAACGTAATATTTCCGTTTTACAATCTTATTGAAAAAATATAAAAATATTTGAAAATAAATTATCTTAAAATAACGTTAGGCGTCAAAAACAGATGTGTAGTGACGGATGAGTTAAAATTATTTTATCTAAGCCAGTGAGATAAGAACTTCTTATCCCACTCATTTTGAGTGAGATAAGAAGTTCATTAACGCACGCGTTTTTCTCTGCTTTTAACCAATCAAATAAAAAAGTCAAAATATCAAAATAACCCTAAATTAAGTCTTAGACAAAAATAATTACCGTTTATTTTTTCATTTAGAGGCGTAGATAAAAATTTGTACAATATACGTGTGATAACGCTTTATTAACGTACTTTTGCGATTGCCCAACTCGTGCTACGCACTCGTTGGGCAAATTTCGCATGCGTACGTTAATAAAGCTCTTATCCCACTTATATCGTAAATAACTATAACCTTTCTCTGTCAGACGTACGAAGTTGAAACTTGACGGACCGATAAAATGTCATAATTTTCGAATTATAATTGAACCAATAAGAGCGCTCCCGGATGAACGGACTGACGGACAAACGGATACATGAAAATTAAGCCTAAGTGATACAGAAAAATATTTTTTAACAAATTTGTAGGGCACAAAATTCCCTGCAAAATTGTCATTTACGTTTTTTATCTACAATCAATAGTTTAGTCTCCAAATACGATTTACTGCTATTTTAGAAGATTTTCGAGTAGAACGGCAATTTGTGAAGAACATATTCAACCTACAGACTTGCTTAAATATACATTTGAGGAGTGATTTTTCAAAAGGCCTTATTTCCATTTTTACTTGAATGTAATTTTTTGACAAAATCCCAAAGGTATGGCTAAAAGTCATATATTAACGGCGAAATATGACAGCAGGTTTGAAGTATTATTAAATATTCATCAGCATTTTCTTTAAATAATCCATATTGCGCTAAGCTATACAGGTTATAGTCATTTTTTTGAAAAATTGTTGCAAATGGAAACCTTTTGAAAAATCACTCCTCATTTTACAAAAATATTCTTACTGTACGAGCGGAAGGAGAAAAAAATAAAACAAGTTTTTATATTTAATTATTTCATTTTCCCTTAAATAAAAACACCCCAAACTACTACAACCATTTTCCTTCAATTAAAGGTTAATAACCCGTCATTAAAATCAATCAAAATACTAATGACCGTCCGTCGAAAGAGCAAATCAAACACAAATCAAATCAAATCGTTTCTACTACGCCCCCTTCGTCGCATTCATTCTTTAAACCTTCCAACAACAATAATTTTGCTAATAACGACCGTGGCGACGACGTCGAACGACGGCAACAACAACAACGTCGACGTGCCTGTAACCAGGGCCGCCTCGATTTTAATTGCGAACGGGTTCGACAATGGGACGCGTGCCGTCGATCGCCCAATAAAACAAACAACGACGCGATGAATTCGCCAGCGCTGCCCCCGACGCACAATGGTTCAAGATAAACATATTCTTTATTTTAAAATTTGTTAAAAACATTGGGGGTGGCTAACTATTTTGTAAAAAAAAAATTATAAATCTTTACGTCAAAATTAAAAATCATAAAAAGTCATTTCTTATTAAAGAAAAAAATTAGTCGGCTAATATAGAACAAAAATGAATAGAAAATATTTCAATTAAATTTAAAACTATTTTTAATGTCTTAATTAAGGTTGAAAGTTAGCATCACACTATATTTCATGGGTTTTGTATGAAACGGAATTCTAAAACTAAAATGAAATAACGAATAAGTAGCTCCTCAGTACTAATAAAGAATGTGATAAAATGTCTAAATAATTTTTTAAGCGTGACCAAACCTTGTTCTTATATTTTATGTCCACTTCGTCACAAACCGCTTAAAAAAACAACTTTGTTATAAAATACACTGGTGTTTAGCATTACATATAAATGACTTCTGTAACCCATGTAGTTTATAACTGTGGCACGAGATGGCGCCGCTGCAGGTAATGGTATCGCTATTGTTATTTTGCGCGTTACAAACAAGCGTGTGTTTTTGAAGGTTATCTTTC